AGACTAGCACTGTGACACAAGTAATAGGAAGCGATGAGGTCCTTATTAAACCATGTGCTAGATAAGTCTTTAGCAAGAACTCTAATAGCGAATGTAACTCAGAGGGAATGCTTAGCCATGTGGGGGGTTAATGGTGGTGCCCAGAACTACATGGCTCGGGCCGGAAAGCCAGATTTAATCGACCAGCAGATAGATTTAATGAAGAAATAACCAAGATCTAGGTCTCAGGAGCTATGCTACAGCTAAGATCAGATTTATGTTATGAACACTATAGGTCCCGCCTAGTTATGGTTCTATTTGGAGGAAAGTGAATGAGGTTGGAAAGGTAAGCAGTAGTAAGTCTATTTCTATAGATCAGGTGCGTGGGTGCTAACAAGCGCTAAACCAAAACAGGATGGTCATCAACTTCATGTCAACTTCATGCACAGAGAAACTCAAAAGAATAATCGACATATCAGCCAAAGCCTTTTTAACAAGCCCTCTAGTACACCTCCAGGACGTATCTCTCCTCGTCCTTGAGTTTCTCAATTTCCCTTCTAGTGTCAACCTTCTTGCCATTGGCCTTGGCCTCGGTGGCAATTGCTTCTTCCAGCACTGCGGTCACATCAGGAACCGGCCAGGTGGGACCGCAAAGATAGAAAGATCCCTCTTCCCGGATGTAAGCATCAACGATCTCAGGCAAAGTCTGGCGCATGCGATCCTGGATATAGATCTTCTCGGGCTGGTCACGGGAGAAGGCACGGCCAAGGAGGGTGATGACACCGGCCTCTTGGTAGGCCTCCCATTCCTCACCGTAGCAATACTCTTCGCGCTGGTGACGGGAGCCCATGTACAACAGAACAGCACCAATCTCCTTGCCCTGGGCCTTCTCAAGTGCACGGTGCTGCACGAAGGCACGGAAAGGAGCAAGACCAGTACCGAGACCTGCCATGATAATAGGCTGGGTGGACTTAGGCGGCAACTTCATCACACTGGATTTCACACTGACGGTGATGGGGGAGCCAGGTTGAAGCCTGCTAAGGTAGCGGGTGGCCAGACCAAATCGGTCACGGCCGTTCGGAGCCACCCAGTTAACGGCGACGATCATGAGCGCCACGGAGTTAGGAGTCACTTTCTGGCAAGAGGCGATGGAATATTCACGACGCTTAAGGGGACCGACAATGCGAATCAAGTCATGGAACTCAGGGTGAGCAGAGGGATATTCAAGCAGGATATCAGCAAAAGTGACGGTATCAACCTCGGAGCGACGCTTAAATTCCACAGCGCCCTCGGGACCACCCAGTGTAAGAAGGTCGGTCTTTTCCTTCTCATCAGTTGCGAATTCAGCAAGAGCCTCGTAGAAGCGTTTAGGTGGGCGACCGAAGATATCAATATTTTGTGTGAGAGCCTGGAACACTGTACGATTCTCCAGCACGGCTGGATCCTCGCGGCTAGGTACCTCGACGATATCGTCGGCGTTCAGACCATAGAATGCAATAAAGTCAGAGACCTCCTTGACATCATTCTCGGCGTGGACACCAAGAGCCTCACCGATGTCATACGTAAGACCAGAATCACCCAAATCGAATTCGATGTGGAAGATGTTCCGGTCATAAGTGACAGGTGTCAGGCGTCTGTTCTCCTTGACATGGACAGTAAAGGTCTTGGCAGCAGTGTCAGGTCGGAGAGCAGTCTTGGTTCCGTAGGCCTCCTTGAAAGCCAGGCCCTTCGCGGCAGTCTGCCAGTCCTTGAGCAGAGAGGCGGGCTCAGAATCCTCCTTGTCGAACGACACAAAGCTGTTAGGAGAGATGTCCTTGGGAAGCTGGGGAGCCTCAAAGCCTTCCTCGGGCGTTTTCCATGCCTCGGGAATCTCAATTTGGCGAAGCAGCTTATCAAGATCCTTGCTGACGTTCTCAAGGGATTCAACGTTACCAGTGATCGATCCCAGCTTCTTGATACCGACCTCCTCCAGCGAAGGGAGTGCCACTCGCAGGAAAGCAGTCTGGAGAACAACAGAGGCAAGTGACTCGTCGGTGACGGAGGGGTCGACAATGTAGAGAGAGATTCCACGTTCCGCAATCTGCTGCCTGAAGGCTACAGGAAGCTTCTTCTCCAGATCCTCATCCTTCACGCCAGGAACGTTGATGATAAGGTTGCCGTTGTTCTGGACAGAAGCAGCAATGTCAATGTCTGCGAGAAGCTTGACATCTCCAACATATGCGGTGTTGGCGGCAGTGATAGCATAGGGAGCTTCCAAAGTCTTGGAGCTCTTGCGGATGTCAATGCGTACTGCACCTCCCTGGACAAGGTTGTCATGAGTCTTGTTGGTGGTCACGTTGCTTGCTGAATCGGCAGCAAGGGCTTGGGAGAGGGCGGCGGCAGCATTATCGCAGACAGAGGTATCGACATCCCAGAAGATATATTCTTGGACCGCAGAAGGGTCAAACAACTGAAGAGGCACAGTCTGGCCATCAGTCTGAACGACAGGCTTTTCGGAGACAAGCTGGAATGCAGCTGCGGTGTTGATCAAATCCCAGCGCTGGGAGCGGGCATACTTGATGTCCACACAGGTAGGGACATTCTCACGGCCAGTAGCGAAAGTCAAAGCTGCAAGGACATCTTCGTATAGGGCAGACCGGATGCCCTGTTCTTGAACAGCTTGTTCGTTGATAACCTGGCCTAGGACACCAACAGTCTTCACAGACTGAGGTAGCACTCGGAGAAACTCCTCCTCCACAAATGGACGGTAAACACGAACGTTGATAACACCAACACGAACACCGTCCTTGGCCAGAGAGCGAGCAATCTGGGCGGTGAGAGATGCCTCAACGGTACCGAAAGCAACCAATACAGAAACCGGCTCTGCATGGCCGTGGTACTCGAAGAGACCATAGTCCGTGCCGAGTTCACCGTTAAGAGACTGGAGCAGCTCGAGTAGCTTTCCCTGGTTGTCAAGGTGACGGCTACGGGAATCTTCCAAGGTCTTGCGGACAGCTTCATAAGTGCGAGAAAGGCCCGCCTGGCTCAGAGTGTCGATAACCCGGGTGGTTTCACGTCCAACGCGGACACCATCGTAAATATGAACAGAAGGCAAGATTGACGCGAGCAAAGTCGTAAGCAGCGCCATGTGTTGCGACTCGTGAGCGGAGGCACTAGAAACGAGACCCAGTCCAAGCTCTTCAGCAAGAGAAAGGGCGGACGCATAATCGGAGACCAAGCCCTCCTCTCCGGAATAGTCGACAGCAGCAACATGCGCGGCAACAGGGCTGGCAACTGAGTACAACAGAGAAAGCTGCTCCAAGGCTGTGCGCATATAAGGAAGGGTGGCAGAGGAGGCGACAATGCCCTGGGGAACATGGCGCTTCTTCAAGTCGAAGTCTTGAGAAAACAGGTAGCCAAGGGCGATGTTACCAGCACCCTGACGAGTCTCCATTGCTTGGATGGCAGGGGTTTCGCCATTGGCATTGGACTCTTGGCTGGAGGCCCATTGCTTGAGAGCGGCATCAAGGTCGAATGACTCTGGAGAATAAGAGAAGATCTTATCGCTCAGGACATACGCCACTTGCTGGATAAGCGTCTGCGCAGTCACATAGGTCGGGCCGTCTAGAGACGACAAGGCTGGGGAGGAAGAGGCCATCCCGACAAAAATTCCTGTCTAGATACAGGTCAAGCGAACGAGTATGAAGACGAGAAAAGAAAGGAAAGGAATGAATCATAAAGTGGGAGGCAATGGGGTAAAAAGAGCCCGACCCCCCATCCTCAGTCTATAGAAATCCCCAGGGACCCGTTGCCTATTGCGGTTAGCGTGAATTGCGTGATTTTCTCATTCTCTGTTATCGATTAGATTTTTATCGGCATCTCCAGCGGTAAACGGCGGCAGAACTCGCCACTTCCGGCACTTCTCCGCATTATTCACAAGCACGGGAAATTCTCCAATTTCTTGATGGCCTAAGGCAGGTGAATCCTGTTTGAGTCTAGCCCAATTGATAACTAGGTAATTGATACTAATCGTTCACTAATCAACCCGACGTCATCTTCTACTACCTGCGGATACGTACTTTTAACCAACCTCATTTTAAACAGCACTCACAATTGCTATATCTTTGTAAAGATGGCCAACACAGCCTTAATCGGGTGTACCGGAATGGTGGTAAGTGCTTCATATAATCATACTTATCGCAATATCCCCCCTAGATTGTCGCGAGATAGATATCTAGTGGTGCGCCCTGGCTGACTCTCAACTCCCTATCATTGTCGGGTTTTAAAGGGGAGCTTTATCCTCAACAACCTTCTCGCTCATCCCTCTGTCGCTCGTGTGGACACAATTTCCCGCCGCACCCCGCAGGCCGCATCTGCCGCCCAGACCAAACTGACCACAATCGTATCTGACGATACATCGCGCTGGGCCAGTGAGCTCGCCTCGCTTACTCCCACCCCATCTATCTTCTTTTCCTCATTTGCCACTACTCGTGCAAGCGCCGGAGGCTTTGAAAACCAATACAAAATAGAACATGGCCTGAATGTTGAGATGGCACGTGCAGCGCGCGATGCTGGTACAAAGGTTTACGTTCTGATCTCATCCGCCGGAGCTGATAAGAATGCATACTTCGCATATCCCCGAATGAAGGCTGAAATTGAAGAAGATGTGAAGGCGCTAGGGTTTGAGAGAACTGTGATTCTGCGTCCTGGTCTCATCGCCGGGCAAAGAGAGGAAAGTCGGCCTATGGAAGCTGCGGTCCGCTGTATTGCTGGATTTGCCGGAAAGATACACTCTGGATTGAAGAATGGATGGGCCCAGGAAGCGGATGTTATTGCAAGAGCCGCAGTCAACGCAGGACTGAAGGCTTTGGAAGGGGATGTTCCTACCGGTAGTGAGAAGGTTTGGGTCCTCGGCGGTAGTGACATTATCAAATATGGAGCCGAGACAAAGAACTGAGTAAAAGGGCAGGTGTATATTTTTCATAAATAAGTATAAGGTAGATAATAGTGATAGTGCTTACTGGTCTTCACAGCAAATGGACTGAAACGTGTAGTCTTTCAAAAAACAAGATTTATGTAAACACGGGGTATTCAGATTTATGGCTGAATCTCCATTGTACAGCCCAGTTCAATTCTTCGGCTTGTTCACCTCTTTATTCTTCCGCGCCGCTCCCCTTCCGCTCGTCGCCTCTTTCTCTTCGTTCCGATCCGGAAGCCCCTCCCGCGTTGGTCGTGTGCCACTCACTTCGGTATTCCCCGGGCTAACATTCAGCGGGTTGCTAACTTTACCTTGCTGTTGACTCTCTTTCTCGGACTCCTGGATTTCGCTCTCAGGTCTCGTCGTGTTCGGGTCATAGGCGGATGGGTGGCCAGCGACCTCATTATCCGTACCCGTTTGGGTGCCTTCGGTTCGCTGAGGGTCGAGGATGTTCCGATCGTGGAGTTTACTTTCCTCTTCCTTTTGCTGATGGGTTGTTTGGGGTCTTGGGGAGGCGTGGAACGCTCGCCTGTTTTGGTTGATTGGCTGGATAAGTGGCTGTTGGGCTCTGAGGTTGGCGGTTTTGATGGGCTGGCCCAGCCGGGTAGTAATTGAGGTGAGTTGCTTAAGCATTAGCATGTTTGCGATAGCAGATTGATGAATATTTGTTGCTGAAGGTAGGAGTAGTCTTCGTAAAATGGTAATTGGTTGAGATGAAATGTAGCTTCCTGGGGTGTTATTAGCAACTAGTATGATATACCAAGGTATAGATGATAATTACTTGTCTTAAATAATGGTAACGGAGCTCTTTAGAATGGAGAGATTGTGTCGAAGAAGGAAGCTGGCCTTGCGCTTCGGTGGGCGAGCTTGTACTTTATTCCATTGATCATGTTGACGTCATTGGTCTACAGTGAGTACATCCAGGGCATTGCTTAACCACGTGATGATGACAGCACCACAGAGCAAACTACTTGAGCTTGAATGTTGAAGTATGGGGAATTGTTCTACAGGGCAGGTTAATGCTTTGAGGACTATATCTGGGGCAATGTGCTAAAGTCAAGCACGTTTTCGCCAAACTCTAGCCTTGTCCTCTCGTACATACACGTAGGAGCAGCACAAGCATGATTATTATTATTTTTTTTTCAAAGGGGGGGCATAGAAGAGTGCCCATAAACGGCAATGCTACTTTCGTATCATTGTAAAGGTTATTTAGCTACCTAACTGCCTGAGGACTCCCTTAGCCCGAAGACTGTGACGGCTTGAGGGAGAAGGCAACCGAAAATTATGGAAATCCCTAACTAGTGATGGACATCAGATAGACATTTGCCACGTCAATGACCTCAGTTGAGGCGTAGCTGCCTCATTGTGATGGCACAGTGACTGTGCATATAGAGCCACACTTTGCCAGTTGCTCTATGTAGGTTCCAAGATCGTTTCGGCCGCACTTTGGCGGAAATATTAAGGCTTGCGTCTGTTGACTCGACTACGTATAACGATCTAGCGGGGGCCAGTGCAAATTCGATGGCGATCACACTGGCGTCAGCGGTCGGGTCACTGCGCCCACCAGCCCAACTCATGTGGTATCCCCAAAAGCAATCGTACTGAACCCCTGTCGAAGTCCGATATCTAGTTCGGCCAGGCCCCGCGTATCAAGCAAGGTGGATACGAGCATATGCAGAGCTAAAATCCCGGAACATGAATTGCGCAAATGGACCGCTGGCAGCTGTCAGCTTGCAGATGCGAGGAGCCGCCCTCAGTCTCCTGTGTGTGAGTCAGTGGAACCCGTATTCAAGATCCCTGGAGCTAAGAATGGACTTGACAGGGTTACTTATTAGCTGCATATATTCCTTGGCTTGGTATCGGACTCTATTGGATACAGCTCGTTGCCGATATTTAGCATATTCTAGCCATGGGCCAATCCGAACGCGTAGGGGTCACACAATGGTGATGGCCCTCTCACCTTAAAATTTCGAGAGCAAACCTAAGTCTTTCCATTTGTTACTCGCAAAACATATATGCGTAGATGTGCAGAGGATTCCGGCGTAACATTACGATCACGGGACTGAAGAACCCAGCATAGTGGACCGTGCATGTGGGGGTCAGATATTCAATTTCAACGTCGTCAGAGTTAACGAAATACACCTCGCTAATACAGAAATGAGTAAGTCCGCGGAATGGGTCAAGGTGATGACCTCTAAGTCGAAGCAGAAACTCTCGTCGGTTGGGCAGAGCTTGTTACCACTGTTTTCTTGATCCTTGTTTCTAAATGTCAATCGCCACGACCAAGAATAGTTTAGTAATTGCTAAATAGCACGGGGTTGGAGACAAGGTGTGAGGGTGGCAAATGATGTTGTAGAACCAGAATCAGTCACTTCAACAGGTGGTGTACAGTTAACCGTCGAGGTTGCTTCTTCGTCACGGTAGTAAGCTAGCACCGGCGCCGCTGAGTTGGCATCAAACCCTTTCCATGGATCCACTGTTCGATGGCTCATTGTCCTAGCACTCGGTTCGGATGAGCCGGCAATCCTGCATTGTAGCGAATAGACAGCTGTGCGAAGGCACCTTTTGGAAACACAACCTAGGATGCTCGGAAAAGCGGAGGTCCAAAAAGTTCTCCTTATTCATTTGTCAATGCCAGAAGGCACACATCGAAACCGTTTCGTCCATCACTCAATGAGCGACGTGTTGACCATATTTTCGCCTCGAACTTCCTCTATCAGCCTCAAGAGATGAAAGAATGGGTGTTTTGCACCAGACAAGGGGCGCCACGTCAGTCTCCAAATTCTAGTGCAGCTGCATGGGTTCAACAGGAGGTGTACCGTACCACGGTTTGTATCTGCCATTGCAGATACAGTGGTCATATCATATCCTATCATCTCAACCGAGTAAGGTAGGTAAGTGAAGAACAAACCCTGCATCTAAGCGGGGGCGAATGCGGGATTATTCGTCTGCAGCCGTGAAAGATCAGCTGAAAAATGATCGTCTCCTAATAATTGACTTCATCATACCACTTTAAGAAAGGGTAGTTGACCAAGACCGAGCTTCACGGCGCACTGGATGCCAATCGATATCTTTTAGTGACGCGTCTGTTGCCACTAAGTGCAGAAACATCTAGTCGAAACGGGAACATGCGGAGGATGCGAGACACCAATTGCCACCAAAGATAGATATCCTTGTAAACGGGGTTGGGAGACAAAATAATAGAGTGGAGGAAGTCAGGTAGGGTTGCAACCAGATACGGACATCAAGGCTTATTGGAAGCATACCAGCAACCGAATAGGCCAAGAAAAAAAAGAAAAAGTAAAAAATTACTCTCAGCAGGATTCATTTCATCTTTCAGTAAAAACGGGATATCCAAATTCTGATACTATAGCACTCCCCAAAAAAAAAAAAAAAAAAAAAAAGGAACGTGGTGTCTGAACTTATTGGTCACAAATCGTCAATGAATATTCACATAGACATGTAGAGGGATGATCTCTGACGAACCATAATGATATTGCAAAGAGAAGGGATTCAATATTTCTTTTGTCGATTGCTTCCCTCCTCTTAGCCTGGTAGCTAGGTTGCCCCTGGAAATAGAAAAAAAATGTTAACAAATAATAAAATAAAACAGGGCACCAGTGTAAGACGGCATGACAGCTGGCAGCAAAGTGACGGATCATGCAGAAGCTTTGACTCGATAAGGGTGAAAGCATATGGTTCTCGAACGATGGCTACATACGAAACACAGATGCATAGATGAAGCGGGGATGGTCAATTGAGCACCCAAGGCAGCAATGGCAGTCCAAGCCAAGCTAGGACAGCGAAACAATGATTCGCGATGAGGGATTTTCGAATGCTCGATTTGAGGCAGCATAGATGATTTCGCCACGACAGCAGGGTGCATGCATCCATGAAGCACCGACTGATTACAATCAACCCAAAAAGGGAATGTTGCGGACATCTTGTGTCTCCACTGTTGGGCAAACTTGTTGTAGCCAACCGCAAGAAGCACTCAAGGGAGGTGATGCGAATGTGATGGTAGAATGCTGTGGACGATAAGCCATCACACACCAAAGGCACTGATCGACAATGGATGGGCATAGTAACAAGAACTGGCTGAGCAGTAACATAGAAGCTGCTCACGAAACATAAATAGGACCAACGATCCTTCATCTCAATGGTATCTGAATCAATAATCGTTTCAAATTATATCCCCTCAAGCAAATCCATAAGACATAAAGTCTTGATCTTGATATAACGCGTTTCAACTTTCTTATATCTCCATCAAAGTTCAATAGGCTTTGTTTAAGCCTAGCCTATCATATATTCGGAGGGCGGTAGGACCACCAGGTCGAGCCAATAGAATATAAGGCAGAAGGTGAAACAGCGAAACTGCACCAAGTACCAGTGAGTTTGATCGTGACCCCGGACAGGCGTTCTCTGACTGATCTGATAGGCATGTGTTTTTACAACCAGAAGAGATATGCGTGTGGAGATTGGAGTTGGACCAATTTTGCTCACCGTTGCAATTACGAATACCGTACTGGCGAGACGTGCGGTATGAGACTTGTTAACATGACCGAGTTTGAGACGACACAATGCCGTCTTTGTGAGAAGATCGAGACCAAGTACCGGCGGCGAAGCGCCGAGATGGAACGGTTGAACCGGTGGAAACGGGAGGGAAGCACTCTTGTGGCCTCCATGGATCGATCACAGAAGCTCATAATGGAGCTTGATAAGGAGATCCGCCAGCTTCAGAGAGAACGTGACGACCGACGAAAAGCATTGTCTTGAATTGCCGCTTGTTAATATTAGGGGTATTTTGGCGCTGGCGAACTGGAGCTGGATTTTTTTAATTTCTTTTTTAGATTCCCTCATTTGCGATTTCTTTTCAATTCAGTCCTAATTTCAGTGTAATTATTTCATGTCTCACAATAATGGGTCATTTGCTCATGTGGCTCGTTGGCTGTGTCATCATGCTGGGTTGTTTCCATCAAAATGAAAACAGACCCATCAGATGATTGGAGGAAAAGTTTGGATTTGATGGGGACCTGTTGTTGATTGAATATGAGGCCCAATGAAGTGTCCCGAATTCCGCAAATCTTGCGTCTCGTGTGGTATGCTCAACGACCAGTTCCACTCAATAAGCGCCTATACTCTTGGTGAGCGCTTCGCCGATAAGGATTGGCAAGTTGCCCCGTAGGTATATAAGCAATTGCCATAAATGCAAGAGGAGCTGAGCAAAGAAATTGAAGGAGAAAGACAGCCCATATCCCTAAACTACCCAGTATAGACACCACATTCATTAGTGATTAATGCCTAGACATCAATGTCACTGAAACGGGGTGATGTTTAATTGTTTCTAGTATGAATGTGAAGCCCCGCGTCCATTGTATGTTACTCACGTGAGTATAATCTAACCATATTAAGTTAGCATGGTGTAGTCGGCCCTCCGTCTCGTTTCCGAGTAAGTGAGAAGGTGAACAGTACTGGCGGAGTGCTTCTCTCATCAGTCCTTGTTCCCTTTTTCCCTTACGGCTTGAAAGGGTTGGTACTCTCTTGTCAATTTTTGGTGTTGTCACTGAGGGTTTCCGATTCATGTTATGCAATAATTTCCAGAAAAACGAAGAGCCGTATACCCGCAAAACCTCCATGGCGAACCGAAGCAATGGCACTTGTTGTAAATGATGCTGCCTTCTGCAATAATCCTGCAGTAAGAATGCAAGTAGGGGATGGATAGTCTCTGGACACTGCTTATATATGAGGAATTTACGCCCAACGCTCTCCATACGGAGTACATTCAGCATCATCCAAGCGCCAGATGCAACCGGACCTTCGAAACTACGTGGACCATTTATCTTGATTCGGATTGCTCTGCAGCAGTTTTGATCGAATTGGCATGAAGAACACGAGAGCACGCATGAGAGCTCGGGGGTCTGTTGTGCAAATTGACGTCGCCGCCTGCCACGTCACCAGTGAACAATATTAGTTACGCTTCAGATCCGGCGGTAACTACTGGTTAGTACTTCAATGCTCATCCTCTCTGGGTTCAAGGAATCTTCCAGCAACATATGCTTTCACGGACTTATAGTTCGAAGAAGGACAGTCTCGGGACTGTGGTAGATTACTGATAGGGAATATTTCAAGAAAAACAATATGGGATTATCTTGACCGAGTAACTGAACAAGAAGCATTCTTTCATGATTTATTTAATGTCCCCAGCCTCGGGCTCGTCATCAACTTTAGCCAGCCCATGCTGCTTCAGCAGAGCATTAATTTCGTCAGCATTCCACAGGTGGTGGTAAACCTTCCCTTCTTGAGTCTTTCCCACCGTCGCAAATTCAACTGTGAAAAGAGGATTTAGTAAATTTCGTTAGATTGCAGTGGTGGGGTAGGGGTCGGATAAGAATTCCATGCACCGCCACTTACTCTTCTCACTGCTTAACTTCGTAGAGTCCATAGTCTTGCTCAGGACCTTGACAGCCATAGCACACGCCTCCTTCAGATCACAGTCTTCCTTGTAATCTTGTTTGAGCAGACTCTGGGCACTTGCGTTGTTTGCTCCCACGCTAGTGGCCTTCCAACCACCGTAATTACCACTGGGATTGCTCTGGTACAACTGGAACTCCCGAAGAGGGTCGTAGCCGGCATAGATGAACGAGACACCGAATGGACGGAGACCACCATGTTGGGTGTATCCCTGTTTCAGATCGCACAGTCGACGGACCAGTTGCTCACATGGGATTTCTTCGTCGTAGGTAAGAAGATAACGCTGGGCGGCTTGTCGGGCGTAGTTGATTAGGATGTTTGCATCTGCCGTCATACCTGCCACGGCACAGATCATGTTACTACCCGGAAGATTAGCCTTTGAATACTACCACGATAAAATGTCTGCAAAAATTATCATCGTACTCATTCAGAGTGTAAAGTTTCTCCGCAGAAGTGTCCTGCTCTAGCAGCTTGCTAGTCACCTTCTTCTCCGCTGCAAGAACGATTCCATCTTTGGCCAGAATTCCTAGAGCCGTGCCGGCGTGCGAAATTGCTTCGAGCGCATATTCAACCTGGTAAAGGCGACCTTCGGGGGAGAAGATGGTAGTCTATCGAACAGCGTCATCGGTTAGCTAGAGCTTCCGGGCTAAGAAGATTACGGAATGAGCGTACCCTGGAATCGTATCGCCGTGACATATCGAATGTGACGTAAAAGCGGAACAACTAGAAAGAAAGGAGTCTTTGTAGATGAGCGAAGGCGGAGGGAAAAGAAAGGGAGGTTGTTGATGAGGAATGGTCAAGCTGCGTAAAGTGGGTTGGGGTGAGCTCCAAGTGACAGTCAGTGACCAGGCAACTTGCCCTGCGCGTCCAGCGGCTTGCCATTTGCCAAGCTCGGGCCCACGCCTTTGCCTTTAGTTTCTATGCGAAGCTCTCGACTACCGCAAAATTGCACGCGCTCTCCGCTACAAAAGTAGTTTTACCAATTCGCCTTTGTATATAAACATCTGGAAGTTCTTGAGCCAACAATTCATCGAACCCGTATTTTCTGTGCATCGCGATTACAATGCTCAAGTCCACCTATACCCCTCCCCCTCCACTACCACCAGGCTGGACCGAGCATAGAGCTCCTTCGGGTGCGTCACATCGTCATTGTCATGGAATTTCTCTTGTCTAACCGGACACAGGCCACTTGTATTATTATAACTCGCAAACAAAACAATCAACCTACACTAGACCTCAGGCGTCTGCGGCTCCACTCCAACCTCAATCGGCCCCGTCTACGCCCGATACCACTCACAACGCTCCGTATCTTACTCCGGATACTTTACCTCCATTTTCCTCGACGCCTTATGCTCCTCAGGGTTTTGGGTTCGGCGCATCTATCCAAGCAACACCTCAACATGGTCAACGTCGGGGCGGCTTTCGTGGAGGAAGAGGCTATCACGATCGCAGGAATAGAGGGCCAGAAGATAGGCCGAAATCGAAACATGCCCTACCCAGCTGTGCACCGTGGGTACTCGTCAAAACCAAATTGGGAAGGAGATTTGTCCACAACCCTGAAACGAATGAAAGTTTTTGGAAGATTCCACCGGAGGTATTGAAAGGAGTTGTGGAGTACGACCATATAGAGAGAGAGAAAAGAGAGAGGGCGGAGCGTGGTGAAGACATCGATGACGAGAGTTCCATCCTTGAAAGGGAAACTGAGCCATCCGGCGAACAGCATCATGAGCAGAAAGGAACTACCCCGGCTGCATATGCGGGTGAAGAAAGTGATGAATATGAAGAAGTCGAAGTGACAGATAGCGAAGGCGAAGATGAGGATCATCCTTCCAAACGGCCGAAAACGGAGGGCGACGATAGCCAACAACAACCCTTGGAGTTCACGGAAGAAGATATCGAGTACCAACTCGCCGCTATGGGTGAAGAATATGGCCTTGATCCCGGCGAATATGGAGAACCAGGCGAGGATGGCTGGGAAGAAGGTGCAGAGGGACTACCACTCACAGAAGAAGACGCAACTGCTCTGTTCCGTGACCTTCTTGATGATTATCATATTAATCCGTATGCAACGTGGGATAAAATCATTGAAGAAGGCCGGATAATAGAGGACTCTCGTTACACCGCACTTCCGAATATGAGGTCGCGTCGGGAAGTTTGGTCTAATTGGAGCCGTGATCGGATCCAAGTGCTTAAAGAACAGAAAGAGAAACAAGAGAAAAAGGACCCGCGCATCAAATATTTTGCCTTCCTTGAAGCGCACGCTACTCCAAAGCTATATTGGCCGGAATTCAAACGCAAGTATCGCAAGGAGCCCGAAATGAAAGACACACAACTGTCCGATAAGGATCGAGAGAAATTCTATCGCGACTTAATGTCACGGTTAAAACAGCCGGAGAGCACTCGCAAGTCCGAACTCTCCACCTTGCTGAAGTCCGTCCCTCTGCATGATTTAAATCGCTCGTCGAGCCTGGAAGCTCTCCCTCCAACTATCATTACCGACATCAGATATATCTCTCTCCCTGTGAAGGTCCGTGATCCACTCATTGAAACCTACATATCTACTTTACCTCCAGCGCCGGAGCAGGGTGAGCATATGACTGCGGAACAACGAGACGAGGTGGAGCGTAAGAGAATGGAGCGCGAAAGGCGTGAGAAGGCTTTGGCAGAACGGGAGAAACAAGTGCAAGAGGACAAGCGCAAGCAGCGGGGTGACCTTGCCCGTGGGAGGAACCTTCTAAGAGAAGGAGAGGCGGAGATTGAAGAAGCCCTGAGGATAGGTAAAGCGGGACTACGAAGCCATATAGAGGGCGAGCAAGACTCTTCAAACGAAGGGGAAGCCTAGGAAGGGAAGTGATCCATAGGTAGTAATGATCTTGTAATAGTACAAATCCATTCAATTGTTATTGTCTGGCCAACAGCAGCCCGCCGAATCGTCACGGCTATGGGAGCAATTCATTTCCTTCTATATCTCCAGACAAATTATTGGTTCGACGTAGGTCACAGGACCACAAATACTCATACCTAGTAGATACAGAAAAGCCAGGACGCCGGCCTTGGAATCCAGTCATGTATGTTGACACATTAGAGAACACTTTTGTGCGACTTCGTATAGCTCATGGGGTATCAATGTAATTATGAAAAGTTCGGGGCCTCCCTTTGTAAGAAATGACACCTTTCCCGTTTTCCCATTTTGATTCATTTCCGGTCTGTTACCTGAATCTCCAATTATCCCAGTCATCATCATCGTCGTCGTCATCGTCGTCATTTTCTTCGTCTTCCTGGCCCTTTTCATGGTCTTTTGACACCGTGGCAGCAGAAGCCGGACCATCCATCAAATCAGCTTCTTTGACCCCTGTGGCCGTCATATTTCTTAGCTCCTCACGTTTGTGTTTCAACCGTCTAACCCGCTCCTCTAATTGTTCCATCTCGTCGAACTCGTCTTCTAAGAAGCGGGCTGCGTCTTCGCGTTCACCTTCGGCCTCGGCCTCACGGCCACGGGCTATTGTGTCATTTTCTTTCTCTTGTTGTGCTGCCAGCTGCTCAGCGGAAATAGGTGCCGCTGATATCGTCGCTTGTGCGGCAACTGCAGCTGGCGCCTGTGGTGCCCTAGTTGGGGCCGCTACTTCACGCTCAAAAGCAGCCCATTCGTCTTCATCAATAGTCTTAGGATTCTCAGTCATGTTATTCGATGCCGCTGCTGCCTCGGATGGTTGTGCACTAGGTTGGGCGGGAAGCTGTTCGGCTTCTTCGTTTGATGGTGGTTCCGGGCCAGCAGTATCCCGCTCTGAAAGTTCAATGTCTTCGTCTAGGGACTGGGCACTCGGTGGCTGTACGGTACGAATATTTGCTGACTGCGGATCCGCGTTTGCGATCGCGTGTCTCATTTTCTTGCGCGTCAAGTCATCTTCCGGATCTACCTTGCGCTTCTTGGTGACACGGTTTGTTGTTGTGGTTGCTGCTCTTCCGGTCTGATTTGAGCCCTTGCGAGAAGCCAGTTCATTTCGTAGTAACGATCGAACATCCGCCATCGTATGAAGATAACCCCTTTTTTTTTATTAATATTTGGTTTCTTTCTGATTTTTTTATTAAAAGAGCCTTTGCTGATTGTAATAAAGTGTTCAAGGATATTGTAGCTGGGTTAAACTAGTGTTAGATGCAGGACGATCAGGAAAATGCGCAATCTATGTGGGGATACGGAGAAGCTTTCAATGAATAAACGCGATGAAGAGGAACCCTGTTTGGCGTCGTGCCAAGACCTCCCCGCCGAGCCGCAACCATCTATTCACGTGTCTGCTGACTCAGCCGTCGACCGCGACTCCGTCTTCATTCATTCCTCTTCGTCCAACTTCATCTCCTCATCCCCCCATCGCCTCCCTGTCAACTGAATTGTCGCCAAACTCATCAGAAGTCGCTACGCAGTCGCTCGGTTGCCAATTTGGTATCGTCGGATTGCAGGACATATCTATAAATCTCAGCCAGCATCAAGACAGCGCTCACGCGACCCCGCTCACGCCAAGCATTCACGCTGCGCGAGAAAGAGGAATTCGTCAGAGTCAGAACACCCATACCCGGTGTTAAAATACTGTCGCTACGCGTTGTGTCTTAAATAAATCTTTGTGGAAACAAATTTGAGAAGATAAAGTAATACCTTTGTGGACCGAGCAGCATTGCCACTGTCCAGCGTCTTCTCTTGTGTATTACTTGAACCCTCTGATGCCGTAGAACGAGATTTGGGTGGCGCTTGTCCTGGGTTACTCTACATCGCACCGTAGAAAGCTTTTGCATCTTATCATTATATACCCCCACCATGGCCGGTAAGCTCATAGTAACCACACAATCTCGCGGACAGTATGTCAGTCCACATAGGAGTGGAGTGACGGTTGAAAGCAGATCCCCAACTCAGTCTGAATAGCCAGCTAACAGCGACGTCAGAAGAACCGCGACGATCAGGTCGCTCGACCAAGGGTCAGCACAAGAACCTCGATCTTATCCCTGAGACACCTGCGAAGAAGCCCAAGTCGAAAGCGCAGCCAAAGGAAAAACCACCGAAACCCTCCGTCGAACCAACACCTGCCCCTAGTGAAGAAGAAGAGATTATCCGATGTATATGCGGAGAATATGAAGAGGAGGAAGATATCGAACGTGATATGATTTGCTGCGATCGCTGTTCAGCATGGCAACATAATGACTGCATGGGTCTCACATTCGCGAAGGGCGAGGAACCTGACGAGTACTTTTGTGAGATATGCAAGCCTGAAAATCATAAAGTTCTCCTAGATAAGATTGCGCGTGGTGAAAAGCCTTGGGAGGAGGCAGCTGAAAAAAGGCGCAAAGAAGCCGAGGAAAAGAAAGCATCGCGTCGCAGAAAGGGTAAAAAGGGAGGCAGAAGAGGCAGACCCAGTGAACCCAAACCTGAGCCCAAGCCTGAACCTAAAACCGAGGCGAGCACACCAGCACGTACAGCAGCTTCGTCAACCCCAGCCCCTGCTCCCGCTCCTGCTTCTGCTCCCGCTCCCGCCGCCGTGACTGCTCCTCCAGCGCCTGACGCTGCTCCGACTTCACCAGCACCACCATCTGTTACACCGGCCACCGAGAAGAATGGTGCCGTTCCCGATGCCCGATCGGCGAGTGCTCAAAAGCGCAAGTTTGATGAGCACCAGGACCTGTCTACGCCTGAACCTGTAAGTGCTCTGGATGACTCCTTCGGGCAAGGTGCTCTGATAACTAATCACCTCGTGTTCCAGACACCGAAATCGAAACAGCAGAAGGTCTCTCCCCCAGCAGATACTGTGATGACTACCGTGGAACCAACCCAAGTAAAGGATGAAGCTAAGGAGCAACCTTCACTCCAGAACTCTACCGCAGAAACGGTAGTGGTTGAGGGCGTAAAGACCGTGGAAGAACTCTCTAATCCTGCTCGGAAAAGTGCGGCCAGTGCTCTGGTCAGGTTATTTGTAGATCAGGTTTCTGAAGCGCGAAGGCGAGGTTCCTTCAGCTTGTCGGATGGGAAGTCAGCGGAGGAGGTCGCACGGCAACTCGCTCTCTCAATCGAGAATGCAATGTATGAGAATTTCTGCGGAGGATCTGGAGAGACCACAGAGCAGTATAAAGCACAATTGCGGACGATCTTGTTCAACGTAAAGAAGAATCCTTCTCTACGGGATCGTCTGCTCGTAGGTAGTTTACTCCCAGATACCCTCTCTAAGATGAGCTCCCAAGACATGGCAAGTGAAGAACTGCAACAGAAGGATGCCGAGATCAAGCGCGAAGCCGAGAGGCAACATATTATCGTGCAAGAACAAGGGCCAAGGATCAGGCGGACCCATAAAGGCGAGGAACTGGTTGAGGACGATAATCAGAATGTCTCCAGTGAGCCCGTGTTCTCTGCTGCTCCCCGTCGAAGCTTAGTCGATGCAGATGGCAGCCAAAGTCCAGGTCCTCAGCAGTCCGCTGATGGCGATAATGCTCGGAAATCCGGTGACCAGCAAGCATCTGACAGCAAACCCACAGAGAGTGTTTCTCACGACCAACACTTCCCGCCTAGGGCTCACTCCCCTGGCGGCACTGAGCACGAGCAAGTGTTTCCAGAGGTCGCAACCCATATTCGACAGCCACTACCGACTGGAACGGCTCAGGCCGATGCAGAGATTGATCAGCTTTTGAAGGATGACGAACCAGAGTCGCCGCCCTACTCACCTAAGGACTATCATGACGAAGGAGCTGTTTGGCGTGGCAAGGTCATCATGAACCCCATTGCCGAGTTTTCCTCCTCAGCTAAACATGTTGGGGGTGCCGACCTCAGTGGACGAATCCCTTGGAGTCAGCTCGCGCCTTCGACATTGCTTGTGGACGGCCGAATTGACATCCAACTGGCCAGCGAGTATCTCTGCAACTTGCGTTTCAGTACTTCCACAGACGTGTCAGTCATGTGTATCAGCAAGCCCGATTTGCCAAAGGAGCAGGCAGGTTTCGACAAGCTCTTCAACTATTTTTCGGATCGCAAGAGATACGGCGTGGTTGGCAAGCATCCGCTAGCAGCCGTCAAAGATACTTATCTTATTCCTATAGAGGCTGGGTCAACTAAGAAACCCGAGTTCATTGAACTCTTAGAGAACAATACTCTGGAGGATCCAACTCCGGAACGGGTTCTTCTCGTCGTTTTTGCCGTGAAGACTTCTGAATCGAATCCCCCTTCGGTCCAGCCCTCATCGCACCATCCAAGCCAGGAACCAATGGCTTCTGCGAGTCCAGCAACACCTCAGCAACAATTCATGACTCCCGGGCCACGGCCTGTGTCTCAGATCACCCCAGCGCCTTCGAATTTTGACGGAACACCGCTGGCACACTCCCCATACGGTCAGCAACAACACCAATTTCAGCACCAACATCCTCCACATGCTCCCCAATTTGCACCATATCAGAGTCCAGCGCCACAAAATCAGGCCCCAGTCACAGGTCTTGCAGCTGCCGTTCAGGTACTGGGCACTCAGGCTAGCTCCCCAGCTATTCAACAGCTCTTGCAACAGGCGCCGAACGCGGATGTTACCCAACTTGGTGTCGTCCGTGATATCTTGTTGCGACGGCCGGAGACAGCGCTGAACTACGAAATATTGATGCAAGAATTGGTACAGGCTACGACGAATGGACATACTCTACAGCAGAATGCAAAGTAGATGGCTATAATACGACTGTATAGTAATCATCGGTTATTTTTCTTAGGTTCCTTTTGGACATGGTGTCTGTGTTGTACTGCTGTTACTCTTACTGGGAAGCGGAAAGTGGGATATTGGGTGATCATGGGATATCTACGTTTGTTTTCGCAACGGATTTTCAGCACAGCGATGAATATTTCCTTTACTCAATTCATATCCGAGTTTTTGCAAACCAATGCACCTTTGTAGCTTTCTTTGCTTGTCAATGCGGTCCTACATAGTTCCATTCGATTTCCAATTATGAGACTCAGTTCGTGAATCGCGCTTCCTTGCTGTTTTTATGTAGCACTACCAGCTTACGGTCCAAGCAGAACCAACTGTATTGCAAAATATGGCCCAGATTTGGATTTTCAAGACAAGTACTTTATCCTATTAACACATATGACAATTCATAACGTCCTGGTAGAAAGAATAACGCCTGCGCTATGCGAATCCAGCAGCAAAAGAAAAGAAGAGTAGTGAATAGTCATCATTATCACCACCGTCCACCACGCTTCTTGTAGCCGCCGCCACCACCATACCGAGGTCCTCTACCACCACCCGAGCGGCCACCCCAGCCACTGTCCTCATCATCGTGATGACGAACTGGCGGCGGTCTACCCTTGAGTTCCTCGCTGAGTTTCTTATACGTCTTGCGCATGTCCGAGTAACCCATGTGCATTTTACCAAAGAAATGATCCGCCAATCGACGATCGTTATCGAGACGACTCAGATACGCGCCACAAACATCGCATACCTGCAGCTTCTGGTGACCAGACGGGCCAGAGGTATCCTGTAGATTCTTCAACTCGCGCTCGCACGTTTCCTTTTGGTGTTTGGCTGTGCGAATCTTGTGCAATTCATTGTATGCCTGCGCAACAGAGCCGGTTTCACCTAGGACGGAAATCTCAAGCAGGCCACCGTTGATCGTTTTGGTATAATCGGAGATTTGTTTCAGCTATTGAAGGTTAGCAACCGGCTTTAGTCCGCTTGGTGGAAAAAGCTATCCTTACAAGATTATTTGTCTGTCGAATTTCGTCCGGGGTCTTTTCCAACCGCCGCTGTGCAGAATCAATTCTCCGGTCACAATCTTCAATGTATTTCTGCATGTCTCTCATATAGTCAAAGTCGAAGCCCCATTTAGCCTTCTCCGCAGCCGAAGCTGTCTCATACTCCGTCTTCAGACCTTCACTATGCACCTTAGGACAAGGGCCAAGATCTTGCTTGGTATTGGTGAAGAGATCATGCGGGCATGTGCCGACGAGATATGAGCGACAGACTTTAGGGTCGGTAATAGAAAGCTGAGCGTTGCGGGACGGAGCACCAGTGCCCATGAGCTGGTCCGCTACGAGAAGATTTCTATTAGCTAGGGTTTGAGCTGCGTATTTTTTGTTAGAGCTAGCTTACCTCCCATAAGCTGCTCGAGCAGCTTTCTCTGTTCCGCCGCCATGATGCAATGACTCCGAGAAGGGGACGTTCGTGCGAAAAGAGTGGAGATCGTACGTATATGAGAGCTGTTGCGATGAACGAAAGACGATTATTCGGCGGAGTGGCGCTAAACGCGGTCGCGGCTGCGCTTACTATATAGGTCATCAACCCCTTTCGGTAAGTCCCCGAGCATCAGCCCAGATGTTCTGCCCCATAGAACGTCAGAGCTATGGCCGAGTGACCTGAAGGAGGATTCCAATTAATCCGATTACGAACAGCTTCTGTCAATCGCGAAACTCGGTGCTAACTATCCTCCTCCCTAAGCGCTGCCCGGTACCACGTCGCGGGGTTCTAGACGCTAAACCATTCTGTCTCCTTCAGTCCAGAGATCTAACACTACAACCCGTGCATGGCTTGATATTGGGTTGGAAGATATTCTTACAATAGTGCTTGGAAACGTCTCCTTGGCAAGCATGACGGAATGATTGTCCTTTCTTTTCTTCCTCTCTTTCTCCTCGTCGCGTGGTCCTCGCTCACCTACGCGACATCGGACTACCATGAGAGCCTCACCCTGCAACCATTGCCGCAGTCATCTTTATTAGCGTCCTTCAATTTCCGAAGCAATGCTTCTCAGGAGTCCTTTGATGAGCGAAATTTCCGCCACTTCCCCCGTGCACTTGGTCAGATTTTACAACATGCTCACACCAAGGAGTTACACCTACGATTCACTACGGGAAGATGGGATGCTGAAAGCTGGGGGTCGCGCCCCTGGAATGGGGTCAAAGAAGGAAACACGGGTGTCGAATTGTGGGCATGGATTGATGCGGCAGATGATCAAGAGTGCGTGCGATGTCGCTTGGAACCCTGCCCCTTGGATGCATATGCTGACGAAGATCAAGAGCGTTTGCGAAATGGATCACGCTGACACAGTCTCTGTCTGGTTTATTCTGCGCATCGCTCAACTTCATTGATTCAACTCGGACTACTCGACCAGTTGCGTCTTTCGCTCTCGCCGGAGACCATTCGGCTTCGAGTAACCTACACCTTTTGCATGGCACGCTTCCGGGTGAAGTTGTCTGCACAGAGAACCTTACACCCTTTCTGAAACTTCTACCGTGCAAAGGCAAGGCCGGTGTTGCCAGTCTGCTCGATGGACATAAGTTGTTTGATGCGTCTTGGCAGAGTATGTCGGTTGATGTACGTCCTGTCTGCTCTCGTCCCGATGATTGTGTCGTGCAAATTGAACAAACTGTGGACATCGTGCTTGACCTAGAGAGGTCAAAACGGCCTCGGGGTGAGTCAAATGAAACCCATCATCATCAATTAAGGCTCTTAACAGATGCTAGACAATCCAATTCCGCGACCGGTTCCTAATGATCAGCTTGCCTGCGACATTTCGAAGCCGTATCACTCAGATGATACCTGTTATCCTTTGGAGAAGACCTCCGAAGGCGGCTGGTCTCTAAGTGAAATCTTCGGGCGCACTGTCAGTGGCGTTTGCCCCTTAGGTGATAGCCAAAGCTCCAAGGAAACTATCTGCTTGCGCGTACCCCATGAGCGAGGAGTTGCTGTCTCTGAAGGTGCGGTTGAGACTCGTAAGCCGGATGGCTTCACCCGGTGTTACACGCTACAGGACTCCGGCGCATTTGATCTAGTCATGCCGGAGCAAGAAGCCACAACCCATGTTCCTCTAGATGAGCCTGTCTTACGTGCGGAACGGACGATCGTTGGCCACGGGGTGGAACGGGGTGGCATGCGGATCATCTTTGATAATCCGTCCGATACGGACGTAGTTGACTTTATGTATTTTGAGACCCTCCCGTGGTTCTTGCGCCCATATGTGCACACGCTGCAAGCGACAATCACTGGACGAGATGGGGTCCGTCGACAAGTTCCTACTTCACAGCTCATTAAGGAGACCTTCTACCGCCCAGCGATTGACAGAGAACGCGGCACGCAGCTGGAACTAGCTTTATCAGTTCCGGCTGCCTCCAGCGTGACACTTACATATGACTTCGAGAAGGCCATTTTGCGGTACACTGAGTACCCACCGGACGCCAATCGTGGTTTCAACGTTGCCCCGGCGGTGATCAAACTTGGTGGACATGAGAACCCAATCTACATGCGCACAACCAGCCTTCTTTTGCCGCTACCTACCCCAGATTTTAGCATGCCGTACAATGTGATTATCCTTACTAGCACGGTCATCGCTCTGGCGTTCGGAAGCATCTTCAACCTCTTGGTCCGCCGCTTCGTCTCCGCCGAAGAGGCAACCGCACTCACATCACAGACATTAAAAGCCCGTCTGGCGGGCAAAATCGTGGCCATACGAGATCGGATAAAAGGGAAGAGCGCAAAGGTTGAATAGCCTTGTCACATATAGAATCAATAATGCACATACGTTTATATCTTTCTCACTCTTCTTGAGAATCTACCCCATGTATGATTTCATTATAATACAAGATCTCATAATACTACAAAAACTCCAGTAAACACTTTCCTAACCCTATACAGTCTCGATGATCACTCCATCATAACCCATTCAACCAAACCTATAAATCAATCAGCACTCGAACCCCAACACCGAAACCAAAATCCAAGGTGAAAAAATCAAAGGGAAACTCACATATTACCCAAAGTACTCTTCGCCTTCTCCCATCCAGGTAAAGTATCCGAACCACCAGGCTTCCGCGTCATAAAACTATGATCCTCAGTCGCGCACGTCCCCTCCTGCTCACCCATTTCTCTATTCCTCCGATCCATAAAATTATGCTCCGCCATACCCTTCTGTTCTCGGAGACTCGAGAACTCGTCTGCGGATGACAGTGATGTCTTGATTTTGTCCTGGTCAGGCCGTTAGTCAAATCAATGTATATTGCCATTGGGTGTGAGTATAGAAGGCATACAGAGATATGACCTGTTCCTTCTCCGCCGGTACCACCCTTGAGGAATCCAGGGTCGCCCCAGCCTCGGCCGCCGCCGACGTTGTTTGCTGGTGTTGGCTCGACGCTGGCACCACCTCTAGTGCCGCCGGAGGGATGTTCGTTCATGTGTGTGTTAGCTCCAGACATTTCGTTGAATGGTTTAGATTTGTGGATCTGGGTTGAGAGTCAGTAGTTTATAAATGTGCATATGTATATATAGTTTAGGTGGTGGATGTGTATGGTTCCCGCTTTGGATGTTATGGGACCTTACCTATATGTCGAATGAGTTAATGTTTGTGCTTGATGGTAGATGAGAATCAACAGCTGAGAATGACCATCTTTAAGTACTCGAGGATATGCCACATGGCGTACAAGTCCTTGCACAGAGCAATAGAACATAATGACCTCAGTGATATCATCATGACTGCACCCTGACTTCTTATTGGTCGTTACTGCACTGAGTCAGCAAGATATCCAAGCTTTACCGAATTAGGTAATTTTAGTATATAGCTAGCCCAGGTTACTGTAAGTCTGTCATACAGAGATTTGCAGAAAGAATGAGACATCATGATGCATATGTTTTACATAGCTTTAGCAGGATCATAGGACGGAAAGGGCATCTTTCATTGTCCAATGTTGGTAGGAAGTCTCTTTAACAAAGTGTAAACATGGTTCAGAATCAGAGCGAATAACAATAGTTCGGGGAATATTCCGTGCATGCAATAACAATGGTCCCTCCAAAACATGATCAAAGAAAAGTAGAGACTCGTGACTGTGGACATCTAGTTATTCTCGACTTGCTCCGCCCATGTAGCACCGCTTGCAGATATCGGCGAGAGGACTGCGTCGAGCTTAGCCGTAGTAGAATCATTGTCGACCGTGCTCTCTTTTTTAATACCGCCAGGCAGGGAAGGGAACTCGGCTTCATTATCGATGACTGGAGCTGGAGCGAGCTTTTGCTCGGTGGAACTTGGTTCGTTCGCTGCGCCTTCAGATGGTGGAATGTCAGGTCGTGGTCCACGGCCGCGTCCGCGACCACCTCGACCGCCACGACCCCGGCCTCTAGCGCTATTATGGTGGTGATTGTTCGTCTCTTCGTCGGGTTGCGAATCTCCAAAGTCTCGTCTAACATATCCAGAGACGCCACCGTGCATCCCTCGTCGGAATCCACCTCTACCTCCACGAGGGTTATAATCTTCCTCCTGCTTCTGCGAATCCCACTCTCTCCCGCCCAGGGCTTGAAGTTTTCGCTGCCGATTGCGCTCTCGTTCGTTATCCATTACACGGCGGTGCTGGCGTTCCTGACGTCGCTTCTCTTCGGCAACCTTCTCGCGTTCAAGGAAGGAGGCCTGGTCGGCTTCAGCACGGGCGTGGGCGGCAGCCTTGCGAGCAGCGTTTTCCTTCGCCGCGGCGATACGTTGAGAAAGTTCCTCCTCTGTGAGTTTCGGCTGAAGGAACGGTCAGCAGATGCACTAACACGATTTGAGAAAGGATTTAACATACCTTCTTTATCCCACCTGTAGCACTCCGATCCCCGCGCACAGCCGGCACGCGTGGACCATTAGCCTCAGCGGAGGGTTTGGAGTCCGAAGTCGCATCTTCCTTCTTTGCTTGTTCTGTTGCTTCAGCAGACACATCTTTGGTGGGTTCCTCATTACTCTTCTCGTTCTGGGCGGCATCATCAGCGGACTTCGCCCTTGAGCCTCCATCACCCCGCCTTGAAGCTGGATTTTGTGATCCTTGTCTGCCACCGCGACCCTTTCCTCTGCCACGTCCTCGCCTTTCGCCCCCACGCGACCGTGGAGGGGTTTCGGTACGGGGCGGCGGGGTTTGGGTTTCTAACGATAGCGATGCGACGTTCTCTTCCAATGCTTGGACTTCCGGTGGGACCTCTGGCTCCGCGGCTACAGGAACAATTTCATCGTCGAATAGGTCATCGCCGCCACGAGTCTGCGCAAATTCATCCATAGCGGGGGTATCGGCAACGGGGTCGGTCATTTTGAGGATTCAATCGTGAAACGTGGGAGTTGTAAATCGTAATATATCTTAGCGATATCGAGCGGATCTGAGGGAATGCTGCACGCGCCCCCCGCGGCGCAAACAATTAGGCCAATGAGAGCGATCCGTGTAAGCTCGGGGAGGTAGGAGAGGGATTGATCAGCGATCACTTATTGTTAGCGGGGAATATAGTTAGTTAGTCGCCGGTGAGTACGGGAAATAATGCGTCAGCCCAAATGGTCAGTATTGCGCAAATTTTCGCCAGCGTGTGCTTTGTATGAAGGGCTATGAAGCCATCGAAGGACTGGAGTTTAGCCTCCTGCCAGCCACTCTTGGGTGGAACCTATGATGCGATAGCGCCCCGGTTCCAAGGCGGTCTGCCAGGTGGACCACTTGGGTTTGTGGAGGCTGGCATTTGGCTGCCAGGGGCGGCATTTACTACTACTCCCGTACATTCTCATGATACACTTATGCTTATGCTTCGGTATATTTTAAGGAGTTAATCTAGCTTCAACAACAAGACACTTTGGCCGAGTGGTCAAGACTAAGCATGTAGATTCGTTCACGTCAGTGAATATCACTGGTGCCGTTTATTTTTGGTTTTTATATTCTCAATTCCTCTCCTTCGTAGACACATGGTATATCCCGTCTCTGTATCACCTTGTACCACAAGTTCATCGTCCTAATATTCAAATACAAGGATATATATATATATATATATCTACGGAGTAGACTTGCCTACCAACCTACACTCACACCGAGCGCCGACCTTTCGTACTCCCCCGTCCTTCTGTTGGTGTAACTTATCTCCAATTACCATGTTCTATCAAAAATATTTCATGCTCCGTTCATACTACAAACACCCACAGATAGACATCTTGACTTTCTATTACTAGTGTATTGTGAGATTTTGCAACATGCGATTCTATATTCTACCTTCTATGATGGACAAATTAGTACATGATTATCAAGACATACAACCATCTTGCCTCTATAAGCATAAATATATATATATATATATATGTGTGTGTGTGTGTGTGTATACAACACTTCAACAATCTAAACACACTGCCAGGCGTTCTCATCAGTGTAGTTCCCTGGTCCCTTGTATACATTCCTGCGAGGGTAGCGGCAGTGCTTGCGAGTATACTCCACGGCCGAACCCGTGCCATTGCTAAACTTAGCACCACGGATGGTCTCCGGGGCGATGCCCTCCTCCACCCACTGCACCATCGCCATGAGAACGTTGTTCTCAGGATTGGCATTGTTATAGGTGACGAGCTGGTTTCCAATACCGTACGCTCCATCACCTCCGCTGCAATGGGCCATTCCACTGATCTGGAAGAAGCGGTAGAACTCGTCCAGTTGTTCCGGACGCATGTTCATGGTTTCCGCGACGCGCGCGTAATAAAGCTTGGAGTTCTCCGAGCTGATGAGCTGATCCATGAGCCCATGGTAGGTGAGGACCTTGCCGCCTGCCTTGCGGAAAGCGGAGATGTCTGCATCCCAGGTCTGGAGATTGAATGGGTTCTGCTTCAAAGCGACGGCTGCGTCGCGGACTGCGAACTTGGTGCCATCCCAGTTGGGGTTTTCGTAGACAACATAGCGGTACCAGTCTGTGCTATACTTGAAAGGCTGGCCATTGTACATCATGGAAGAAGCCATCACCTCAGAGCCAGGCTGCATGCGGGGATAAAGCAAGGTACCGTTCACTCCGTAAAGCGGGGAGAAAATCTCGCGAACGGTGTGGGCTTGCTTGCCAGTTAAACACTCGGTGGTATTTTGACCGGGCTTGCAGATGATCGCTTCAAGAACCGGGCTGCAAAGACTCGGGTCTTCGATGATGCCGTCCTCTGCTCCATCGATGCCATCGCATTGACGCAGGATCTCCTTATGGGTGATGTTCCACAGGTCAGGGGATAGATATGTGTCTGACCCAACTGGCCCCGTGATTGGGTAGAAGTGGGCACTCCATGACATGAGATTGATCATATTGAATGCCGGTGCACCGGCCACAACACCGTCGAAGTCATTGGGGTATTGCTGAACGGATTTGAAGCCCTGCCGACCACCAGTGGAGCAACCAAGGTAGTACGACTTCTTGAACCCTTCCTCGTAGAAGAGCTTTGTCAATTGCTTGCCAACCACGACACCAGTGTGGACTGAACGATGTACAAAGTCTTCCAGGACTGCGGGGTGGTGGTAAAAAGGCTCTCCGGATGTTCCGTTATGGCCGCTGTTAGCACCGACCGTGGCAAAGCCTAGGCCGGAGGTGTACGCTAGATCATAGTACTGAATACCTATAAAACGTTAGTTTTAAGGTGGGTCAGGTTGTATCGTCGTGCCGGGCAGAACATACAGCCTGAAAGACCTCCATTGCCCGTACTCAGGAAGCGACCGGTATAATTTCTTGGGAGCCACGCTTCCAGGGTGATTTCGCTGCTGTTCGAGGTTGCGACAGCCATGGCAATGCGGCAGACATCCTCGGACACTACTTGAGAAGCTGTGTTGCAACTGGCTGGATTATCTGGTAATGAAAGATTGGCGCCTCCAGGCACATAATTGACAAAATTCACCTGCACATTAGGCAGGTTAATTTTGTCCGCAAAACTAGTACACTTGTCTTGAAACGCATCTTGGCTTGCTAGAGCAGCAGAGCCCGCAGTAAGAAAAGGCAGAAGCCGGCGAAGTGAAGGCATACTGGCTGGGTGTGGTTGTGGTTCACGGACACAGTTTCCTCTGCCGTGAGCTTGGTGACTTTATATACGTAGCTAGCTCGGACATACCGGAGACTACTAACAGTACGGAGCACACCGATTGATGTTTCAATCTGTCGGTACCTGAAGATTGGAGTATATCCCGTGCTTTATCTAGGGCTTCTCCGAAGTTTGGCCGAAGGATTGTACCATTATTAGCTTAAGAGAACCTACTACTAGTAGGGAATCAGCATGTCAGAAGCTTGGTCGCGACGTGATAAACTTTCCAATCATATCCGACAAGGAAAAGCCGGGATGAAGAAGGGAATTTCCAGCAGCGCTGAGTGGACAGGCCACTGTCATCGTTCAAATGAGGTCTCCACATCCCAAAGATCGTCGCATGGGGTTCCCCACACAATGCGGAGAATTATCCTGGTTACTCCGTCACACGCTCTGCAGCACGTTCGCTAACCTGAAAGGCTTGAGTATCGGCAGTTAAACCGCCTTGGGGCCACATAAACACAGTGATCGGGCATTCTTTTCGGCATCGAGGGAACTCGATCCTAAATCCTGGTGAAATCGACTCGACACATTTCACGCAGTACAAGCAGGACCTGTTCTTGTTAGGGGTAAAATTCTCCCCCCCCCAAAAAAACCCGGCAACATGTCCTTGCTTCTTTCAACGCGTCATTGTCCTAGAAACAGATGTTCTGTGGAGGATCGTGGTATGGAGTAGATATTGCGTATATGTAGAAGGTAAGCAGGGTGGCCGAGGCTTGGCCGGATCAAACTTACTTCGATCGCTGCCGAAAACCGTCTGGTTGCCGAAAACTTTTACCGTAGTTTACCGTAGTATTGATTTAGTTTAGTTTTTTATTGGCGGTTCGCCTACTTAGTATATTAGGGCGTAGTACTAGAATGTGTGGTGAAAGTTCAATGGACGCGACGAGTGCTTAACATATCAAAGAGCTTTTATGAGGTCGTCATGGGACGTGCTCAGATTCTCTTTCAAGAGATCGCTTCGATTAGATGATAACAATAACAACGATGATAATCATTAAGTAATGCAAAGCAAGACCGTGCCACAAGGATCGACGCTTGCAGCGGATTGCGGGCGCGCATGGTGCAATCGTTCCTGGAAACCGGCCCAACCTTAAAGAACACAGAAAAGAAAAAGCTTAAATACTTATATGAGCCATGTGGCATATGATCGATATAGTGGGGTTTGCCTTGGATTTGCCAGCATAACAGTCATAGACGTATTATAGTATTCTCGTGGCCATAAATTGGACTAAAAACGGCACAATTAGTTGTAGCATATTAGCTGTGGGTGCTGGTACTTACAAGCACCAATAATAAGCATTGCGAAAGCAGCTTTCACGTTGTGAGATGCTATGAGGCTTAGAAGAAGACCGAAAAAGGTCCACGAGGAGTATGTGCTAAAAAGTGGCCTTAAAGAGGGGAAGTCTTTATAACGCGAGGATGTTTCATCGATCATCGCCTGCAAATTGGCTGCAGTTGCGGCTGCCTTGTCAAGTAAAGCTTGCGAGATTTGTAAGCTGGTTTGTAGTTTCTCTTGTAACCTTGATTGGAACTCGACAGTTTCAGACTGCTGCAGCTGCGCCTTGTGTAGATTTTCGGCTCTCAACTGAAGCTCTCTCAATGAAGTATCGAAAGTTCGCAGACGCTTCGGAGAGTTAGACCATCCCATTCAGTCTCAGGGCGCCACTAACCTCGGATATACTCATTTCTTGCTCAGAAAGGTGCCCGAATCTTCCAGAGAGCCATTCCTGAGACAGTAAATACTTGTTGTTCATTTAGGGTGGGCTCACCTACCAATGAAGAATCGAATGTCTCAAGATTATGAAGTAATCTAGTCATATCATCTTGCAATAAGGACTCTAATTTCGATCGAAGGGCTAAGGCGAGTTCGTTGTGCGATATAGCATTCTGTTGATGTGTTATTGCAACTTGTTCATTTGCGGATAGCACTTCGTCCAGAAGATCTTGAAAGGTGCATTGCAGCTTGTTAACCTTGGCGGATGCATTCTGAATATTCTATTACTGGTCAGTTATGTTGTAGAGAAGAACACTCCTAATAGCACCTTATCTAGATCTGTTGCCCCAGCCTGTATCCTTCCGAGCACTGAGGTAACGGTATTGACAACCGAAGTGGCCCTGGCTTCAATCTCGTAAAAGGCTTTTTCAATCATAGTCTTGAGTTGCCAGCGAGTTTCTTCCATGTCGTGAAGCAGCCTGGCATTCATATTTGCAATCTCACTGACGAATGCTCTGTGCTGTAAAGATTCAGCAGCAGCCGTCCGCAAGGCTTCTTGAAGGCCCTGATTAAGTTTGTTAGAGCCCTCGACTACTGACCTATGAAGGTTCAATAATTCTTCCTTTTCGTTCTCAATCCTCGCAGCTTGGCATATTACGAAAGCGTTCTGCCTACTGTTGCTATAAGAAGTCCACCACTGAGGTCGTGACTCCAGCGACTTGAGACATGACTCCAACAACTGGACTGGAATTGCGTCCACATTATTGACCGGGATTTCACTCTTTAAGGAGAACCCAAAGATCCCTTTCCTCTGTGGGGTTGGGAAGGTCACTGGAAGACAGGCATTAGGGATATGGGTCCCGGCACCGTTGAGTTCGCAGATAGCGAGTCTTGCTGCATACAACGATCGAGTATGTTCCAACACTCTATAGGTCTCAGGATCTATATTATCTGTCTTCTTCCCAATCGACTGGCAGGAGGTGACAAGCCTGGAAGCTGCGATCCGGTTGCAGGAAGGAGACGACCTCATTGACTCTAGCAACTGTACTGCTTCCTTGAACACGATGTCATGCTGTGTATTCTGCGAGATTATGAAGGAAACCAAGTCCAGTTCCTCAAATGAACTGTTATTGCGTACTAAAAGGTCTATGCTTGGCGGCTTGGTTAGTATGATCGATTTCGTCCTCTCGCAGATAACGTACCACTTGCTGGATTATCAGCGCTACAGAAGGCCGAGAAAAGCAGAAGGAATAGGAGGGATAGGCATATAAGAAATGCAATATTTGAACGTGGGCCAGCCATCCTTTTCATTGATATCAATACGCTATTCTGGAGTATTGATGCGCTAAGTCCTAGAGAAAACGGCTGGCTAAAAAGAAGACAGCCCTTTGCTTAACTTTAACGACTTAGGCGACATATGTGTGGAGACAGCAGTAGTCTGATGAATGGAGTCATATAGTAATTGATGATGTAGACGATCGATCGTTCTACGGTAGACAGTGCGTGAGCTTTTGCAGTATAGCTGGGTAGGATATAGAAAGAGATATATGTAAAGGGTAGGTATATTATGAGGTGAGGTGAACGATAGGACATCTCAAAACAATAACACAGACACTACAGCGACTCGTATTTGAGGACTTATCACATTTTGAATCCAGATATCTCTGAAAACAACAGTGAGCTTGAGTCGACATCCTGATCTATACAAAAGCTATGATCACGTGTGTCCCATGCGCTAACCAGATCGGGAGTGCAGGGTCTCCGGCCAAAATCAAAGTCGGCATCGGAGAATCAAAGTAGTCGTCTTCTAGCAACAGACCGCAATTGTCATCATGTCGCGTTCCTTAACACAGAACTGCTTTAAGCAGCTTTCCCGGGGTCCTTTGAGGCAGGGTTCACTGCCACTTTATCTCGCACCTGCATTCTCATACCCTCAACGGGCACAACCATTTTCTACCACCTCACCAACCCAATCTCGAGTCGGCGGCGCCCCGATCTCCGTACCTCCCGAAGTCTCCCTCAAATTCATCGACTTACCTCAGACACAAGTGAGAGGATTAGCAAAGGACATTCCGAAGACGGCAATTGAAGTTAAAGGGCCTTTGGGTATGGCACGCTCACATATCACTTATGGCTGAGGTGAACAGCTTGACTTATGAATCCATCACAGGTGAATTGACACTGAGCATTCCCCCATTCTTGGAAGTTGCACATGATGAAGGCCTTCGGAAGGCGACTCTCTCCGTCCAGGATTCCTCAGTCGCGCATCAGCGTGCTATGTGGGGTACGTATATCACTTCAATTGTCATTCGCCTGCGCCTTTCTGACAGTTTTATGCCACAGGAACCACTCGGGCACATTTACAAAACTACATTCTAGGAGTGTCGGAAGGCCATGTTTGCATTCTCAGTCTGGTCGGTGTCGGTTACAGAGCTACTGTCGAATCAACGGCGACCACAGTCGAGCCTGAATACCCCGGCCAGCAGTTTGTCTCCCTCAAGGTTGGATACTCCCACCCGATTGAGTTGGGTGTGCCACAGGGCGTCAAAGCAAGCACTCCCCAGCCGACCCGTATTTTGCTGGAGGGCGTCAATAAGAACGTTGTGACGAAATTCGCGGCCGAAATCAGAGAATGGCGCAAGCCAGAACCATACAAGGGCAAGGGTATTTTCATCAACGGGGAGACAATCAAATTGAAGGCCAAGAAGATTCGGTAGATTTGGTATCTCTGGTTCTGGGAAGAGGAACAACGGTTATGTTTTACTGTACATGTATATCCAAGCATATTTGGTTTCTGTTCGCGATTGGTATCTATCCTATGTACTTCTAGACGCATCTAGCGTGAGCAATCTGACAAAGTTCGTTGCATATTGTTTTGATCATAACACAAGCTCATTTACAGCTTCAGGACAGTCTTCACAGCATCAATCACCTGGTCTTGGAGGGCCTTGGGTGCAGCGACAACTCCCTTGTTGGCAGCCAAGGTCCGGCCCTTGCTGAAATCCAATTGCTGACCGTAGATGTCTGTTACTTGACCGCCAGCTTCACGCACGATGAGGTCTCCAGCCGCATGATCCCAGATCTTCTCTTGGTAATCCTTCTTCACAGGCAGACGTAGATAGATGTCACCGGCGCCTCTGGCAATAGAGCAGTACTTGGCCTGAGAATCCAGTCGCACGCTCGGGGAGGTGATGCCAAGGCGCTGGGCAACAGCAGCATTATCACCCTGAGCCGAGTGGGCAGCCTCCACTCCTTCGCAGAAGACGGCCTGCGCGATGTCTGGCACCGGACGCATGGAGATAGACTTGCTCTCGGCGAGAGCGCCGTTCTTCAGAGGTCGGCTGATGGAACCGGCACCCTTAATAGCTGAGAAAAGGACTCCATTACCAGCACCGCTGTTCTGGTCAATACCGATCGATGCAGACATCGTATCGGAGTCATTGACAGGCAGGTTGGGGCAGCCAATCGCTCCCACCTTGACGTCGCCATCCTCAATCAAGCCAAGACAGACAGCATACTGGCCACCACGCAGGAATCCCTTCGTACCGTCGATGGGGTCCAAAGCCCAGATGCGACCCTTCGCGCCTCCCGCGCTCTTGCCCTGATCGATAATGTCCAGCATTGCTTCTTCACTTGGCAAGGGTCCTCCAAGGACCTCATCGCTCTCACTGTCATCCAGCTTGATATCCTTAACCAGCCTCCAAATTTCGGCGCTCAGTCCTTTATCCTCACGGAGGGAGCTGGCCTCTTCTTCGGCGACGATCTCATCATTTGGGAAGTTTTTGCGGATAGCCTGGATGATCAGAGCCTGGGCACCAAAATCACCGATCGTCACGGGTGACTTGTCATCTTTCGATACGGTGCCCTTGGCCTTTTCGTTGAAGACCTTCTGGGTGAGGAGAGTAGCTCGCTGGACCGCGAGTTCGGCGATGTAGCGTTCGTGTTGGTAAGACATAGTTGTGACTTGGGTATATGAGTGTGTAGGAGTAAGTAAGTGGGGGAAGAAGGAGCTGAGACGGTGGCGGCTTTTTAGGACGATGCTGACACCCAGTAGGAGAGTGGAGCAGAGGACTAGACGGGAGAGTAACCGTCGCGGTTGGCGAATTGAGAGACGGCCTGCCGATTTCGCAGACCGGTGACCCATTGATTAGGGGGCAGAAGTACGTAAGATGCTGCCCAGCAGCAATTGAAGGGGAATCTGGCCCTGTACTAGTCTTCAATCCCGATAGCTGCTGTGTACTGGGCCGAGTGGGATGTATCATGTGTAGAAGAGGGTGACTATCGGCCAATTCGGCAATTACCCCAACTTGTTTCACATTGTTGTTGATACTTCCAGCGCCCCAGGCAACTAGGCATCCCAATGGTCCCCCCGCCCTAGACCACATTAGGCTATGGGCGAGGGGCAGTCACGAGATTGGTCATTATCGCACGTCCCATGACGTCGGAGGCAGGAACGAACAATCCTCCTCCTTTTTGTGTGTTTCAGCAGGGCTATAAGGCTATAACTGGCCTCAACTACTATCGCTTTTAATCCGAGCTGATCGTCAAGCCACCGTGCGTCGGGCTGAATCAGTCGCGCCAAGACGAAGCGATAGCCTCCTCACTGGGTCTATTTACACGTCACTGTTCAGCTACTACCTACTCGTCTAGCCACGCCGACGTAATCGCTAAGAAACTTTTCGCTTCGGGCATTGAGCTTATCGCAGGGGTTATAGCTGTGGGATTATTCAAGGCGAAAGGCGTTTTGCTTTATTAGACTGCACGTTGTTTTATACGGGCTGGATCTACGGGTCAGGTGGTGATTGACTATTTGAGTCTTCGTCCCTCGTGTGGCTGCTATCGGTCTTGATTGAGTATTTGTTTCTGAGTATAATAAAGCCAATTTTGGGGCCCGCTGTGACTTGAATTCATCATGTTCCATTCGTCGGTAAGTTCAGCCTGTTGGCATGCCTATCTCTAAACAAGCTCTAGTTGGACCATGTCTATTTGGACACATGATATTAACGTTGCGGGACTAACACTTCTTCATAGAAGCCTTATTCGGCCGTATCGGTGCAGATTGAGGTCTTAACTAGTGAACAATATGATGTTGAAGACTCCAGTGGCATCGTTGATCTCATTGAAGCTGTAATGATTCAGGGCAGTGGCCCGACCGAAGCCAGTCGCGCCTTGCGTAAGAAGCTGTCAGTTATGTGCCCAACCAGTCTCGCATAGTCACTGCTCCTAATTGCCTTCTAGTAAATATGGAAACTTGCATCGCCAACTAAGAGCCCTCACTATACTCGATTTCCTGATCCAAAATGCCGGAGACCGCTTTTTACGGGAGTTTGCAGACGAGCCTCTACTGGAACGTTTGCGGATCGCTGCTACGGACCCCATTTCTGATCCTTTAGTCAAAGAAAAATGCAAGCAGCTCTTCGGACAATGGGCAGTATCCTACAAAAGCACACCCGGCATGGAACGGGTGACAGGCCTCTACAGGCAATTACCAAAACGCAAACAGCCGGCCAACCAGGCCAAAGCGAAGGTTCTCCGCGAGTCTGGCACTTCTGACGAACCTCAAATGGGCCACACCGTATCTATCTCTGCGGGAAATGGCCCGGCTACAGTCCTAAGTGGCCCTAAACACAAGCATACTTCCAGCAAATCGCTCAGGAAGGAAAAGAAAGAGAAGAAAGTTCGAGACAAGAGCTTTAATCTTGAAAAGGAGAAGCCAGAGATCTTACAAACACTCGCCTCTGCATCGGTCGCTAGCACGAATCTCCTAAACGCACTGAAACTGGTCAACCGAGAAACACAACGGGTGAGCGAAGATGCAGAGGTCCTCAACCGGTTTGAAACGTGTAAGCAGCTCAGGCGTCAGGTTCTTCGTTATATCCAACACGTGGAGAGTGAGGAATTCCTGGGCAGTCTCATTCATGCCAATGAGGAACTCGTTACCGCCCTTATGGCGTTTGAAGTCTTAGACAAAAGCGTGGATTACGATAGTGATAGCGATCAGGATGTCCTTGAGTCTGGCTGGAGTCCTGACCGCGACGACCGTGATCTTCAAGAGTCATTTGCGGGGCTTGTTGTCAACCCCCCAAGGCCACCACGGCCTCCTCGACCGATGAGCATATCGATCCCCTCGTCGTCCAAGCAGCGCGTGTATCACAGTGATAGCGAGTCTGAAACCGAAGAAGACGATGATGAGGACAATCCATTCGGTGATCGCAACGCCATTCGTACCCCAAACAAGGAGATATCCCAACCTACCTGGTGAGCAAAATCGGTCCCTTCTGACTTCTCCTCACTAATGTCTTCAAGGAAAGAGGTTTAGATCCGACACTGCATGACTAAATACTTTTCTTCCTCTTCATCCTTTCTTCTTTTTTTCTCCCTTCAGATTCTGATTGCAGACCTTTGCATTACATTTAACGGAGTTACGTGCCCGATGATAATGCACTCTAGGTTGATCACGATGCTTTCTTCTAGTCTGGAGTATAATTTATGACAGCTAGTGGTGATGATGACTATTATTATTTTTTTTTCTTTTCTTTCTTTTGTATGCTTTGGCATGTACGACTAAGCAACAAGAATACTACTATACCAATAAAGCACTATTTTCGTAAGACAAAACCCTTCATGGCCATAATTGTAGAGTCATTACCATAAAGAGGCAATATATCGGAACGGGAACGGTAATAGCCGCACTCTGGCTTCAACATAACTACTAAGCACTCTGACTAACCGCCTGCCCCCTCACTGAGGTGATTACCGCCTAAAGGGGCCTATTGATCATTACCAAACACTCATGTGGAATTGAACACAAGACCAGTCGGTTAGCCTCAACCGAGCACTAGAATGTCTTCAACTCAGTTTACTTCAAGTCTCGCAGCAAATCCCCGAGATGCTCGGGAAACATCATTGTCGGAACAAACACCGCTCCTTGCGGAACAAGGCCTCAATGCGACCCCAGAATCCCATGAGCACCAAGACCATCTAGTACAGGAACCCACTACAAAAGAAGTGATCCTAATCTTGGGAAGTGTATGGGTGGGGGTCTTCTTGGCTGCTTTAGGTATGCTTTGAAAGTCGTACGTGGTCGAGGACGGAAATAGCTGACTCTATTAGACACGACTGTTGTTGCCACACTAACTGGTCCTATTTCGTCCTCATTCCATTCATTCTCGCTTCTCTCATGGCTGGCAACTGGGTATCTCATTGCTAATGCCGCCTCTCAACCGCTGAGCGGACGGTTAACTGACATTTTCTCTCGACGTACCGGCCTAATATTCTCCAATGTCTTCTTCGCGGTTGGTAACTTGGTATGCGGTTTGGCCAAAAGCGAGGGCGTCATTGTGTTAGGCCGCGTTATTGCAGGAATTGGTGGAGGTGGTATCCTTACGATTTCGGTGTTTGTCACCTCCGACTTGGTGCCTCTTAGGAAACGAGGGGTTTGGCAGGGGTTCGGCAACATATGCTATGGAGCCGGAGGCGGACTGGGTGGCGTATTCGGGGGGTGGATCAATGACACGCTGGGATGGCGATGGGCTTTCCTAATTCAGGTCCCGTTTGTTGTAATCTCAGGCATCCTCGTTGCGGTCAAGTTGGATCTGCCCGTTAAGGAATCGGGGAAGGCCAAATTGAAGCGAGTTGATTTCCTTGGAGCGATCACCCTGGTCATCACACTCGTTCTCTTCCTTCTCGGACTCAATACAGGTGGGAATCAGCTTCCATGGACGCATCCACTGGTTCTCACAGCGTTTCCTCTCTCCGCCATGTTTCTAATGATTTTCGTTTACATTGAAGCGAATATCGCGTCCGAGCCTGTCATTCCCGTTCGGTTGCTTCTCAACCGGACTGTCTTTTCTGCCTGCCTTACGAACTGGTTGGTTGTCATGGCAGTATATGGGCTCATTTTCTACTTGCCACTCTTGTTCCAGGTTCAGGGCTCTTCAGCGACCGGCGCTGGCATAAAATTGATCCCCCAGGCAGTCGGAACGTCGCTAGGCTCGTTGGGGGCTGGGATACTCATGCGTGCAAGTGGGAGGTATAGTCTGTACAGCATGATATCTGTGTCACTCATCATCGTCTCCAATGCCCTCATCTGTACTTTGACCCTCAGTTCTCCTTCTTGGCAGCCTTTCATCTACTTCCTTCTCATGGGAGTTGCATATGGCGCCATTCTAACCATCACGCTCGTGGCGCTTGTTTCCGCCGTGGATCATGAACATCACGCTGTGGTCACATCGGCGTCCTATGCTTTTCGCAGTACAGGAAGCACAATAGGTATCACCGTCGCTTCTGCGGTATTCCAGAACATTCTGAAGTCCGGACTTTGGTCACGATTTGGCGACCGGGAGGATGCGAAGAGATTGATTCCACGAATCAGGGACAGTCTTGATGAACTCCAGAAACTCCCCGCTGACTGGAAACCTGGGGTGTTGGCGACGTATATGGAGTCCTTACGAGCTGTGTTCCTTACTCTACTTGGACTCACCATCTTAGGGGCAGTGGTCAGTTTAGGTATGCGCGAACACAAATTACATACGAACCTGGCACGCGCCGAATCACCGGACGCAGACGCAGACGCAGAATAAGGAGGGGTAGTATATATGGTATAGAGGGGGTCAATTGGGTATCACTGTATAACCCGAGTATGGATAGAAAGTACACACTACCTCCAACGGGAGAGAGCTGCTTTATAGATGTGATCTCTTTTGAGTTAAACCTAAAGCAAACCATGATCACTGCCGCTACTACCTTACCTAGGTACTATGAGTATGTTTCCCCCCAAAGTGACTTCGGTGGTGTCAGAAAGACATCATTTATCCCATCTCATTGAATCCCGGGAGCCAATTAGACCCATTGAGTCAGTGGACGAACCTCAGGCCGGGATGCAACCCACCGCCTTCCTCCACCAATCAACTACGATGTCTTGCAAACGAGGCCGCCGGCGCCAGTAGCCGTACTTCCAAGTTCGTCAAATGATCGGATTCCATGACACTGTCAGCTCACTTTCCGGTTCAACCAACTCTCGGTTTCCGATTTTTAAGGGAAAAAGGGACGGATTAGGTAGTGGTCTTTATCTCGCGGAATCTAATCCCCCCCACTGACATAGACCCTAGTCCTGCCGAAGCGGAAGCCCAAATCACTTCCCAACTGGTGGCGTCGAGGTCCCATCGGTGCAGAAGGACGTGGCGGCGCTCACTCGAAGGAGCGGAGCATCAAAAACAATCCTGACGTTTCGAGATTAACCAACTATATAACCACACCGCTTTTCGAAGATTTTCCTCTTGATCAGACCACCAATCCTATAACACGTATCGCACCAAAACCGGACACTTGCATGGATCTCGCGCTACTTTTCGTTGATGGAGGAGTGGTTGGGCGCAAGTGAAGTGATCCATTCTTATATTACACGGCGGGTCGACTGGGCGAAACTCTGGTCAACTTTAATGCTACTTTTTTATTACAATCTCCTATCGTCGCATTGACCAAGACATTGGTTTTTTTCCCTAACCATCACCAATCCAGCCTATATCTTCACACTGGACGATACGTGCCTCTATTCTCACAACCATCGACGCGACCGATCAAAAATATCGATACCGGTACTCTTGAAGCCTAGTTTTCTCGAGCATTATTTCTGCTATGACAGTTGACCTCCGGGCAAATCGCTCATTCAGTGCTGTCTCAAGTGCTGTTGCAAACGCCCCGTGGCCGACTGAAATGGAGGTTGATGGAAGCGGGGAAGTAGTTGAGAACAAAGAGCATTCTACCATTACATCGCACGAACTGCCGAATAATGATGTTGCCTCGCCGGCACGCCGCCGGAAACGCTTGCTGCTGTCTACAGAAAGCGCCTTCGTCGACAATGTGCTCTCGTCCCTCGTTCAACATCCTGACATCGAGTTACGACTGATTACAGACGAACCCTCCGCTCTTCTCTCTGGTGCGAACAAGGTTCCTCACTACATGGACACAGTAGATAGTCAGACTTTTGAGAAGAAAACTGGTGCCCGGAGGTGGCTGAAGGCTAAGGCTGCAGAACTCTGCGAATGGGCGGATATGCTGCTAGTTGCTCCCATAGACGCTGGAACGTTAGGATCGATGCTATATGGCCTGACGAACACCTTGACACTTGCGCTTCTCCGTGGGTGGATATCCTCAAAACCTGTCGTCCTAATACCTGGCATGACTGTATCAGAATGGCATCACCCATTAAATGCTAGGCAACTTCAGGAGGTAGACCAACATTGGCCTTGGATTAGTATGATAACGCCTGTTCTGATGAAATCCAATAACCCCGAGGAGCTCATCCAGCTTCCTTGGGGTGGTTTAGAGGAGCTTCATGAAACCATCGAAACAACCCTAGGCTTATCTTTTTCTCAGTCTTTAACAAAACCCATTGAGTCGTCCGAAGCTTCGAAAGTTCCTTCGTCGGGAGAGAAAGCATCCCTAAATACGACTGCTACTACTTCACGACACGCCCCTCATCGGTCCGATAAGGGCGCACGATTGTTACCAATGGAACTGTGGTTGAATATTTTCGAGGACCACTTGCATGATTGGGAGATCGCCAAAGCAGTCGGTATCCCAACGAATCTTCCTGTTCCGAAGGAATGGCAAAGCCATCTTCTTAAGATGTCGGCCCCTGCCTCCCTCGAGTACACAATTCTTCGCGGCTCCTTCGCCGCGATCAAGAAACGTATTGACAGCTTGCCACGATGGAAACCCATCTCCGATCTTGCCTGCCACCTGATCTTCAAATTTTCACGAACCGACATTCTTTCATACCTAACGGAGAACCACCTTGATCTCCTGTGGACAACCTCCCGCCTCACTAACTTACCATATCGTGCGTCTGCCATTTACGGAAATCCCAACATCCTAACTTGGTGGCGTGATGCCCCCGCGCTTCCTACCAAGGAATACATCGCCGATGCAATGGATGGTGCCTCTCGTGCCGGCTTCGTCAATGTCCTAGAATGGTGGCGTACCTCCGGTCTCGAACTCCGGTACACTGAGCGAGCCCTCGAGTCAGCCAGTGCGGAAGGCCGTGTCTCCGTTTTAGACTGGTGGAAGAAAACCTCCGCGAGCGCACCCCCATCGGATCCCCTCCCTCTCAAAGTCGGTAAATCCGTCCTCCTAGCGGCACAATCAGGCCGCACAGCTTCTCTCGCCTGGTGGGACGCCTCAGGCATCCCTTACAGTCACACCGAATCAGTTGCCCGCATCGCCAGCACACACGGCCACGTCCACGTGCTCGACTTCTGGTACCGACTTAAAGGCGCCAAGATGATCTTCGACTCGCAGGTCCTCGTCGGGCCGACAAAGAACGGACACGACAACGTCCTCGAGTGGTGGCGACAGAGCGGTCTCCGCGTTGAGTTCAAGACGTGCGATATCGAAGAGGCACTCGAGGATGCAGACCCCGTGTCCGGTGCCGAAGAAAGGGTTCGGCGGTGGTGGGCTCGCAATGGACTCAACCTTGGCGTGGGAACGAGCGAATGGATGAAAACGAAGGTGTTGTGATTGTATTTCTTAGGCTTCCCCTTTTCTCCTTCCGTTTGTATAATGACTTGATCGGATTCCTATTGTTAGAAATACCCCCTATTTGCTTTTACGGATTACGGAGCATAACTGGTTACGCACTTGATTATATAGGTATAGCCTACTTTTAAAAATGAACTTGTCTATAATGGCTGGAGTACTTTTACTCTGGCTATATTACCTGCGGAACATATATTAAGTACATGCGTAATGTCTCTGTGGTCATTGTGTTTAGAAATAGAATAGATATGTAGAAAACTGTGTATGTGAGTTTCTAGGAGAATGCCATCTTTTATGCATGCTACCACAGTTCCATGTTAGAGGCAAATCTTGGTACAGTGACTTAACAGAGATTACCTAGCACGTCTAAATATGTGAAGGAAGTGAGTATATTACGCTCTTAATTGTACGAGGCTGACTTATGTTAGCAAGTCTGAATATCTTATTACCGTGAAAAAGCATGTGAAACAAGGATAGAAGAGGAATAATTTGAGCTCTTGATTATTTTGTAATTGTATGTACTTGTGCTATGTCCCCTAGATATCTGTCGTTGCACTATAACGTTTAAAATTTAAAAAAAAAGTCAATGATTACATGTGGAAATGCAGTAGGAAAACCTCCAAGTTTGCTTATTGTCGTACATACGATTTAGTCCATAAAGCCAAACAAGGGAATGGATGTTCATGTTCACTTATGGGTTAGGAAATCAACCTTTGACAATGTAGCTATTCCAACCATATTGCGATCCACACTTTGGACACATATAGTTTGAGCCAGCAGGAGACTCCAGCATCCACTTAAGCTTACAACTTGGACAGCGGTATTTCGTGACCTCGTTATGATCCGTTGAATGTTGAACGAGGTCGGCTGCGAAGCCCAGAGCCTCCTCGAGTACCGTCCGAAAATCTTCATTCTCCAGCAGCTTGTCAATATGTTCACGGGAAATACTCACAAGAATATCGCGAAGGCCTCTGTCTTCCTTGTGAGTACGCTGGTATGCCTCCGAGATGGCTATAGGATAGTCGTCCATATCCCAGCATGTCCTGGCGATGGTTTCGAACTTGTCTTTGGCCTTCTGCTTGAGCTGTGGAACCCCAAACTTATCGGCAACTTGATATACATTGATATTGAATAGCATGGGTGAAACGCGACCAAGGTCGCTACCGCTGCTGTCGTACTCGAATCCGTACATGAAATGGATCATTGCTTCTACGGCGCGCGGATCATCGCTACTGAGTTGGATCTTGTTGTCGACGGATTCCTACGTCTCGTATTAGTCCCCGCTTACTGAGCGATGTGTCCGTAGCTCTTGCCGTCCAGTTTGCCTTGAACAACCGGGAGAAATACGCAGATTGCCCACAGACAACCAGTCGATGGACTTTGAATTCTTGGTCCGCTGTGCATATGGTCAAGTCAGAGAAGTCAGACGAGATGAAGAACCTGTGCACTCGTTAACTTGTGGTCACTGAGAGCAAAGAAAAGACTAACCTCTTAATACTAGCGGATAAATCACCGACCTCTTGATCAAAACCCTCTTTTTGACCAAGGCTGACCTCTTTCTGTTCACTACTCACCGACCCCGAAGCCATTTCTGCTTGTTGATCGACCTCTTGAGAATCAGCTTGTGGCTGGGCTAGTCGAAACCGTTTCTTTTTAACCCCTTTCTTTGGCATGGAATCTGAGATAGCCGGGGAAAGTGATTAAAGGACAAAAGAGGGGGGGGGGGGGGGAGGGAATCTCTCCGTCTATGTGAGCGTAAGTGGGCGGCCCAGTCAACATACGTTCCAGATTGGATCGGATCATGCTTTATGCAGCGAGCCCATTCGCTGTAACCACGTCAGCCTTGTGTCTGGGTCCAGATGGCGAATCGCTGGCTATCTTACCCCACCATGCTTGCAGCTACCTGGGGCTGCTATACCTTTATGTTATGGACAGAGGTGCCTTTTGGAGTGATACTCTGTCCATTGGAGTGTTGTAGCGCTTGGATGTAGTAGTCATGAGGGAGCTTGGAGATACTATTGGTGGAGGGTATAGGGAATGTCGTCTTTCCGCGAAGTGTAATAATAGAAGGATATAATAGGCTCTCAAGGTCTTTTATGGTAGTATGACTATTTGATCAACCATGGGTTGTAAGGTGGTGCGTTTATTGTGATGCTTGTAGCTGGATGGCTGTGGTGTTTTGGAAGGAGGATTCACCTGCCTTTTTGGGAAGACTCAAGAAAGAACATGGAACTTTTGATATGGCTTATGGATTAAAACTCAGGTGGAAGAATAGGAGCATCAAAGTGGTGAACAATTGAGGAATGTGCAATTTGAAAGATAGTATTTAGCAAATCCCTAGTAAATAGTAGTAGACAATAGCTTTCATGAGAAGCTCCACTTCGGAGGTACTAGAAACAATCTTAGATCTCTCGGAAGTCATTTCGTCTTCTAAGTATGCAACGGCCCCTGGCAATCTACGTAATGCTTTTAGGAAAGGAGAGGGAACTCAGTTATGTAAGGTGAGGCAAAGGAGTAAATTACATCTCTAGTGTTGTGGAGTACCGGCGAGTGGTTTTTAAAATTGCACTTCTATACGGTAAGTTGGCCACCTCAGGCCATAGGAGATAGATTAGTATGTGAACTGTAATTGACGTCGGCTAGCATACGCACCCCATACACAGATCGGTATTGTAATTACACTGAATCAATCGGGAGCAACCCCCTGACATGCAGGATGAAGTCCAAAAATGGCCTGGGGAAAGTCCCCGACTTCATCAGGCAGTACGTTTATTACGCAGTCGATACCGATCCCCTTAACGGAATTAATTTGGACTAGCTAAGCTCCTCTCGGGAACCCCACAATTTTATAATAAGGACAATGGAGCCAACTAAGTAAGCGCCGAGACTAGCTATACTATCGATTCATATCAACCCAAGGACCAAAGGGGAGTTATTGTCGCCAATAAATTGGATATTCTGACGTCTCATTTTACAGCGATCCGATGCCTCATCCGAATAAGTGATACAAGGATTCAAGGGACTCCCCCGTCGGACAGGAAATTAATCATTTGAAACAACATGTCTTTGACGAATGTCTTGACTCGTAATCTGGCCGGGAGAACGTTGGGCTTGATTAGCTCCAGCACAGCCACTCTAAAATAGATGATCGACAGTAGAGAACTGCAGTCTGTAGGACTAGAACAATGACCACAAATGTAACGGAGGGGTTAAATCGCAAACCGAGTGGGGCGGTCGTGGTCTTCTATCGTGGAGATGAGGCAGTCGGCAAATGAAGTAGCAGAAAGGAGAGAAGCGAACGTCTCCCCCAATTGTAATCACAGCTGGACCAGACCGAAAGAGAGAGAGAAAAAAAAAAGGGGAGGGAAAAATGAGAAAGGACGAAAAAGGATCCATGATCACGGACTCCCGTGCAGCGTCACGTGGAGGGAGTCCATCACAGTTGCTTTATTAGTTGGTTCCTGATATTCCATCTCTTATTTCTTAGCTGCTTCCCCTTCTCCTCCCCTCTTTTACCCTTCTCATCATCTTAGTCGTACTTATAATCCTACATCCCCTTCCACCGATCCTCCACTGACTGTCTCGCCATTACCGTGCGTGCAGTTATACCGTCGTCCGTCATATTCTATATAACTTGACTAATCACCCTATCAACTTGTCAATCGTCACAATGGGTGGAGTTCGTAAGTTTCAGGGAGTATGTGCTTTGTGAACATGACATTGTTATTCTAACTGGAGCGCAAAGCATTGAACACCTTCAAACAGATTAAGGAGAGCCTTAAATCTATCTTCAAGAGAAAGAAGAAGGGTGATAAGAACAACGCCCAGGCCGCGGAGCAAAAACCAGAAGACACCACTGCCGCTGGCGCTGGTGCAGCTACCACTGAAGCAACCACCACCCATGAAGCCCCAGCCGCGGAATCGCAGGGTATGTCATATCCTATAGACCCTATTACTCCGTTCCGTGACAGAAGGCTAATGATGTAGATGCAGCTCCTACAGCTACGGGCCCGCCACAATCGACTCCTGGCATCTCTCCGGGTACCTCGATACCAGAGCAAGGGCAACACAATGATCATGAAGCACCGACTCCAACACCATTGCCTCAGATTCCGCCCATAGAGACAACGGAATCTGCCGCTCCTGCAGAGACCCCGGCTGCCCAGCCAACTGCCGGCTTGGCTGTTGAAACAGCTCCTGAGCCCGCCAAACGTGAGTTTGTATGATGCGACACTAGCCAGACCATGCTGACCATCATATACAGCCGAAGCTAAATAAGCCCCTCGTTCTTCAATTCTGTTTCAGCCTTGTTCCGTTTCACCTCTCATACCCCAGCATTATTTGTGTCTTTGGTCCTGTACCCATGTTTGTCGGCCGTGTGACTCGTATAATACCCCCGGTTTCTTCTTCAGATCCTGGTTTCACTGAAAAATGTTTGTAATACAGGCCTTGCGCCGATCATCATTATCCTTCGTGGTAGTTCTTGAACCGAACTGCGCCTTCATGGTGACTTAGTGTTAAATGGAATAAGAAAACCATTCATCTCATATTCAACGCCCGATTCAACAAGGGTATTGTGACCTATAGCAAAGGCCATTGCGAAGCACATCACTGGGACTACATCAATCACTTTCCTGCGATGAAGCATCATCCTCTTCAATAGCGGGTGTATCCTGCCTCTGTCCCGAGGCTGCCGCCGCCGCCGCTTTCATTTCTCTTGCCTTCTGTCTCCGCTTAATCTTCTTCTCCCGGTTCTTGCGATTCCGTTTCTCAGCGTCCGTTTCCTTCGCCCGCTCTGCCACTGCCAGACGCTTGCGAAGCTGGAGCCGTCGCTTTTTGCCCGGCTTCTTCCGAGACTTAGGGTCTCTGATCTGAGGGCCGGCGATGAACACAGCGGTACTAGTATCCTCTCGAGGCAGTTTCGTCTGATGTCTTTTCCAATGAATCACACGCCACGGTAAGTGACATCCAGGCTGAGATATCCGTAATTGGCCTAAGCGTCAACCAATTGCCACTTATAGCGCATCGCACTAAAGATGTAAGAGAGGCAACATACCCAAGGAACCTTCGCCCATTCCCCCATTTGCTCTCCACTAACAGCGGCCTCTTCGAATTGCTTCCTCCTCAGTGCACGCTTCGGATCATCCTCCTTCGACCCAGAAAGCAACCCTGGCGTAGAAAAGTAATACTCCCATCCACGAAATGGCTTCACGAAACCCCCATCATCAGGACCCCTAGCTCCGGGCGTCGGAGATCGCAATCGAATCCGTAACTTCTGCGTCCCTGCCGCCCCGATGTCATTCCTCTTTTCCTCTGTAGCAGCGGAGCCTGTATCTTGCGTAGCAGCAGCAGTAGAGTCCCGAACCGGCGCGCTGAAAAGTCGGAACTCGAATTCTTGCTCCTCGTCTTCCTCGTCTTTCCCATTGGTGGCTTGGGTATCTGTTTGTTCCGGTTGTTGTTCGGGCTGAATCAAGGAATCAAGGTTCAACAATGCACCTAGTCGCTCATACCCACTAGTAAGGGTATCTTCAGGCTGAGGCGAGGGAGACCGTGACGACGACGGGGAGAGAATTTCATTGCGCCGAACGCTGGCCCGATATACTATGTTAGCTGGTAATTCGTTTTGATGGATATGCGGGGGTTAGATTTCAGCTCCTTGGGATGAAAGGCAGACTCTGTACCTACCGCTTCGCGTTCGGCAGGTCGAACATCTCGAATATGTATATGTATCAATTAGTCGCAGTCGCTAAATTGAGGATTTGTTTCGGGGTATTTGGTGGTAGGCTGGATTGGGTCTTTGGTGAGTGAGTAATGGTCTAGCGTCGTCAAGGTGCTTTGAGAAAATTGGATGAGATTGGAAAATGGCGGGAGTGTTGTTTCCACGGAGTTTGTAATGGTGCGGCCACGGCCCGGAGGTTCCACTTCTCTACTAAACTAAAGGAACTAACTATATTGAACTGCCTTTAAAAGAGTGATACTTTCTTTATTTCAAGTTTGCTGAGTAGAATTTTGCGTTATTATGTGATAGGTGTATGCTAGCAGGAGTTATTATGCTAATGCTACTAATTTTTTGGACAGCGAAATTCTAATGTAGGACATGTTGGTATGTAGTACTGCACGGTTGGGTTAACTTGTAGTTTCATTAACGTACTGGAGTAGTAGCTGGATTCCTCAAACGTTCCACCGTAGCTTGCACATATGATAATCCTACCAATTCCCTAGAGATGGTCACTAGACACAGCGACCGCCGTCAACCTATATGAAAAGATTAGTACTGATCAAACAAGATATTAAGCACCCAGTCCACCTACCTCAAGGTCCACCCCAGTGATAAACTCCGCCTCATCGCTTGCAAGGAAGCTGCAGGCATTGGCAACATCCGCCGGAGTACTAGGACGCCCTAACGGGACCGTAGATACAAACGCCGCCCGGTTTTCCTCCGTATCTGGTTTACCAAGAAACAGATGTGTCCTGTATTAACAACCTCATGAGTAACATGTACCTCCGGCGCATGAAAGCATAAAAAAACAGATGATGCTTACATTCCGGTACTCCCAACAACTGGACAAACGCAATTGAATCGGATCTTTTTCGGCCCATATTCAACAGCCATGGTCTTGGTAGCAATACTAACCGCCGCCTTTGAAGCATTATACCAAGTCAAGCCAGGGCGCGGCCGAAGCGCAGCGGTAGAAGAAACCTGGACAAAGCATCCGGGACGGTTATTCTGTTCGAAATACGGTACGATGACGTTCGCCGAGAGGTAGATCGACTTCACATTGACGCTCATGCACAGGTCAAAGTCGGCATCTGTGACCTGGCCTGTGGGCTTATTGGAATAGGTTGCCCCGGCATTGTTGACTACGATGTCCAGCTGGCCGTATGTGTCCAGGGTTGTCTGGAGTAACGTTTGCCAGGATTCTCGGCTTGTTACGTCTGCGAGGACGAACTTGCTGTTAAGCTCAGCTGCGGCCTTTTCGCCGTTTTCTTTGGATATCTCTGCGACGATGACTTTGGCGCCCTCTTCGACGAACTTCTTTGCGATACCGTGGCCGAAGCCGGAGCCGGAGCCTGTTATGATAGCGACTTTACCTTCTAGACGTCCGGGCATGGTTGTCAGAGGAGGTTAGAGAAGACTGGAGTATTAAGTAGGTGGCAAGAATGATATTGATTGCTTGGTGATATCAGAAGATGGAAAGACGATGCTGATGTTAAATATTCACCATGGATGAGGGGCGTCAGGTTATCTATACTGCGGGGTTTGTTTTAGTATCCATTGAATTCCATTGCCCAGGGATCCTCGCCGATTTGTCCTGTGACAGTTCCTTGAATGAAGATCCCTTCCTGTGTCTACCAATCATACTCCACACAGGCCGTATTGAACTTAGATTTAGAAGAGTACTAGTATATCTGTTGAACTAGTATGTAGTTTCGTCTTTAGTCAGTGAACCATGGCAGAGAAAATAACACCAATTGATGAAGCCAAGAATGCCAAACCCTTGGTGTCAATGAGATAACTCTCCCTTTTTGAAAAAAAAAAATGGTAGGCCCACATGGTTGACAATGCCCGACGCCTAAAGAGTATATTACTCTGCAGTATAAGGTTACAGTGGAATGGAGAGGCAGAAGAAATGAACGGAAAAGGCAAGGCAAATGACATCGGGAACGCACGGGCCAACGTTATCGAACCCACCCGACCGGTCAAGGGAACTTCCGCAATCCCATTGATTCAGCCATTCGCAGTTTCTCCAGCAAAGATAAAAATAAATAATACAAGGAAAATTCTCCGATTACTATTAACCACTTCAGCATCACCGGTTGGTGCCGTCGCTGCACTTCTGACTTTAGCATTCCACTCTTTTATCAACCCTGTTCATCGTCTTCGCGCCTTAGCCGGTCTCAATTGAAAGTCATCGCCCTCCCGTAACCCCCCTCAGGCGCTTCCCGGTCTTCGATTTCTCGTGTCCCTTCGTTTCTCAACCGAGCCCCGTCGATATTGGTATAAATGGGTGTCTGTGCTTCGTGTCTGGGGGTTGGTCGCCGGGACAGTCAGGATGTAAGTCAGAGAAAGACTTGAAGCTTCGAACAATAGATCATGCGATATGGTGGTGGCTGGGCTGGTCGCAACTCCTCTTCATCGCTAACTAATGCGCCTATAGTCTGAGTCTTCCCAACGTCTCCTCGACGAAGATATCTATCAGCCTGGCTATGGATATGGCGCGTTAAACAATTCTACCCAAGGCAACCACCCAGATACCGGATACTTGAAGCGTGAACGAGAAGCGCTCGAAGCTATCTGCCAACGGACGTCGGAGTAAGTCGGCTTCTTCCTTGTTGGATACCAACAGACAGACGGTAATTTGCGCACTATAATACTAACTGTACGAAACAATGCAGTTCCGTCATCGATATCTGGTCCCTTCAGCCCCAACCTCATCTACAACCCCGAGCGACTCTCCGTGGTCCCGTGTCCCCAGCTTCCTCTCGAGCCGGTACAAAAGACGATGTACCCGTAAGAGTAACCACCACTCCTCCAGCATCAGAGGCCGGATCCTCCGCCCAGAAGCCTGGCTCTCCGAAGTCAGGCGCCGTTCCGAAACACTGGGGTGAGGTGGTCATAAATCCGCGCAAGGGGAAATCGCAGCAGCTCGACGATAATGCCCGCGATGTGTTTGGTGTTCTGAAGGTTACTTAGTTCGGGTTTGACAAGGGTCGATATGACGGTTGAATTCTGGGGTTTTTTATTCGTTATTTCCGTTCCTCTCTCGCATAGGTCGCCGGTCGATGGTCGATGTCTTTCCCTCTTTCGTTTTGTCATGCACGGCCGCCGTGTCTTTGTTTCTTTCCTTTCTTTTCCATTTCTTCCCTGCCCCCCTTCGCCCTAGAGATTCTGTTCTAATACCCTGGCTGTATTTTCTGTTTCTTTTGTATGGTCTGTTTCTTTGCTTTGGTTTATGTTTGTTTCTCACTTGCTCTTTACATTTCGTTCAAATACAACATATGCACGATCTTTCATTTGTGTCAATATGTTATTTCCTTCTTTTGTTCATGCTTTTGGCTATGAAACCTCCCGTGTCACACTACTACAAAGGTGATAAATAAAACTTCCTATGATAGATTCATGTTATATTATTTGCTATGAACTCAAAGAAGCATATGCACAGCACAAATAGACATTTCTGAGATGATATGCACAATCCGGGCGCGCGAACGTCTGCAGAAAACAACCAGAATAGCGCAATCGTTGTATTTAAGTAGATTGGGAAAAAGGGGAGATTTTCGGACTGCAGATGGTTCATCGGTCCGATCTTAGATTCAAGTCTTTGCAGTCGCCGTATTCAGTTGCGCCATGAATGTCAGACCCCGACCCTGAAAACGCCACGACCCTGAACCCCATGAAATAGTGAATAGACGAATAAGAAATGACGATGCCGATGCGAGGTAATTACGCTCACAATGTCAAATGCCGAATTCAGGAATACCCTCACGCAGACATAAATGTGGGAAAGGAAACGAGAGAGCGCGGGTTCATTTACACGTCGTCCATCGTACCAGCCGGTTCTTCCCCGCCGGATTCGTAGCTGCCCGCGGAACTTAGTTCATCTTCGGATTCTGTGTCTTCTCCAGCATCATCGACGGCCTCTTTGCTAGCGTACTTTGCCACATATTCTGTTCTTATGAGTATATGACGCATGTCCAATGTTTTCGGTGGATAACCTACCCTTCACCTTGGCCTCATAACTCTTAGGTTCCCTCATCAGCATTGCGGCAGCTTCACCGTTTAATGGGTCCGATGGGTTTGGATAGCGCAGGAGTTGTGGAAGGAAGACCTCGAAGATGTTGATCATGTCGTACATTGGTGACCATGTTTGGTTGATAACATCTAGGCAAACTGATCCGGAACTAGAGAATAAAGATTAGTGGCCGCCTTTTGAGGGACGCGGGAAGTGTCTTACAGCTCATCGATGTTGGGGTGGAAGATCCGATTTACAAACCCGATACTAGGGCTCTTGTAGGGGTATTGGTCGGGTAACTCGACGTGAATCTTCCAGTGGCCACCGGAGAAAGGTGCTGAATCGCTGTAAGTAAATGGACATAAGCGCCTGGGTATACAAATACCTACTTTCCTCAGGACCCTTGAAGCGGACATAGAATTCTTGCCTGTCAAAACCCTACTGTAAACAACTAGGCCCTAGAGCTCGAGCTCAGGGGAATAACGGAACATACACTGAATTCAATAGTTAGCCTAGGGAAATCCGGTGGCAAAACACAAGAAACGCTTACTATTATCATTGACTAGGGTCACCTCATAGTCACTCATCAACCTAAGAAACCATCAGCACATCGAAATCTATAATCTTTGTCTTCGCCTTCTTTGTGATGTATGTGGTTATTCGTCAGGACTGCGCGGAGGGGATGTGATAAGAAATAAGATCGGAAGGAACGCGTACATCCTGCTCAAGAGTTAGTTATGGACCAACAGAAATCATTTGGAAGCATAACGGCATACTTCATCACCTATATTGAGGGAGGAAAATGCATATGTTAGCCACCCTTCCTTATTGAACTGTAACACCTTATGCGCCCTAAACGACTCACATCGGTCTCGATTCTCCGCTTTGGGCTACTCATTTTGAAAGGATTACTGGTCGATTTGACGCAATCTAGAAGTTGATGGCCCTGTAAGCGCGTAGCTGAAGTTTCAATATCGAATTGTTCAGGACAATCGTGATCGAAATAGTCCGCAAGGTTGAAGCGGGGAAGTAAATGAACGAGCGGGGCAGATAAAATGGGAGAAGTAGGACTTGGTCGACAGTATAAGTTGAAACCGGCAAGAAAGGCGGGGGTGAGGAAGTGGTGATGGGAGAGAAATATATGAGCACGAGGTCAGAGAAAACACAGAAAGAGGGTGTATTTAGGGAGGGGAGACTGAAAGCGCGGAGTGGCAGCGGTACTTGTTAAGTAGTATGAGTGGTTGATCGATGATGGCACCATGAATGCCTGGACCCGCAGGCCGAAAATTGGTCAGTCACTCGCCGCTGGTCATGTGCCACGCCGCCGACCGCCCATGACTCAGCACGTTCTTCTGTACAGCATCGTATGTAGTGTACCTAAGGCACTAAGCATATGCCTGCATCATGTCGCCTGCAGACGATCAGGTAGCAAAGTCATCTGGCGAGTAAATCGGGTAGATTTCGCTATGCGTATAGCCCGAGACCGCATCAGTTAAGGCCAACAGTCAGCCACCCGTAGAAACCTTATTAGGTTTGGGTAAAAGCTCAATTATTATCCAACTCGGAGCACTATCATGATACTAACAGTACCTGTTTGGACTGCAGACTGTATTGGTTGGAAATCGGACTTATCCATGGTAGGAATGAATAGCGTATACCAAAAAGCACTAGTGGTGCGGAGTTAACAGTATTATTGAAGGAAATCCAGCTAATGATCTGCAGGCTGCGAAACAGTTGATGGATCTCTTTTTAGGGTTGACTCCGCAGGACATCACCGCTGCCGTGCTTTAATTGGACCAATCCGAGCGATAAATGCCTGAGGCGTCCGACGTCATTTGGGTCTCCATTGGAGACAACATCAACATTTATCGCCGTCACCGCTACTGTATCGCCTTCTATTTCACCTTCCCCTTCCGTATTCTACCCGTTTCGACGGAAGGCTCCACTAATCAATTCGACCTGTGGTCCGTCCTTGTTCTTAGCTTTTCATCAAAATGGACCCATCATCTTCCCAACACCCCTCTCAGGACTCCCCGAGACCGACCCAGAATTTGTCCACCGGTTCGCGAGCGAGTCTGAGCCATCGACCAGCCAGTCGGAAGCAAAGCTCAGACTCAACATCCAATAATAAGAATGCCCCAATACCAGATGATGAGCATGGGGCAGATATGCCCCTGACCATGTCTGCTTCGGTCGTGCTAACCAGCCTACCGCGTGATGCCCATCAAGCGCTGGCAGATGCCGAGGCCGTTGATAAGGGGAAAGGTAAGCGTAGCCCAGTTGATAAGCATAATTCTTCTCTTTCTGCAATCAATGATCTTCCAATACTTGAGTTTTACCTGTCTTTTTGAACTTTCTACCTACTGCTATACCAAAGCTTTGTAAACGAGTTTAGCCACTTCTAACACTCTTAAAAGTTACAGTCCGCTTCCAACCTCTGGCTTCAGCGCCCATACTGAAAAACAAGGTTTTCAAGATCAGTGCCTCCCAGAAATTTGAGACTGTTGTCAAGTTCCTCAGAAAGAAGTTAGATTGCAAGGAGACGGACTCTGTTTTCTGTTATATTAATAGCGTCTTTGCGCCGGGGCTGGATGAGGGTGTCGGGGGCTTGTGGAGAGTAAGTATACGATGTTCTTTGTTTTGAAACGTTACCTTATCTTCGATGGCGTTTTCCGTTGGCTAACTCGGTTTGTACAGTGCTTTAAGGTTGATGATCAGTTGATTGTCTCCTACTCCATGACGCCTGCGTTTGGGTGACGAGTTATAATGGTCCATGCCAACTCACTGGATTACAGATATATCTAATCCAACAAACACAATTGATGCAAAAGAAAGCTGACTGGTATTGAAGCTTTTCAAAAATTGAGCGAGAACATAGAACAGCCAGCTGGGTTCTCCCACAACCAAACAATCATGACAATATTGATAAGGTATCACAAAAACCATGCCGGACATGAGAAATGCAAGCTAGGATGCTTCAACATGAGGAACAAATGCAAGAACTTAATCCAAAAGTAGACGGAAACGAAGGTAGGATCATGATTTACTGATCCAGCTTGTCAACCTTTTTTTCAAACTCCGCCAGCTCCTCCTTGGGAATGGGGTAGGTGTACTCTTCCGAAGGATACGCCCGGGATTTTACTTCTTCCCGATATTGCTGGATACCTTTGAATGCCTCACCCCAGACGTCGGCGTACTTTTTAACAAACTTTGGGAGGAATCGGCCAGGCGGGAAATTGCCGGTCATATCAATCTGAACCAGAACTTGTCCGGAGCAGCCATTGCCGGCACCGATACCAATAGTTGGAACGCGAAGCCTTTTCGTAATAATTGCAGCAATCTCAGCAGGCACAGCCTCTAGAACTATCATGAAGGCACCGGCTTCCTGCACAGCCATGGCATCTTCCAGCAGTTTGAGAGCCCCGGCAGTAGATTTTCCTTGAACTCTGAACCCCCCAAGTGCATTTTGGCGTTGAGGGGTGAGACCGATGTGACCGACAACGGGGATTCCAGCCTGCGTAATGCGTTTGATTGTCGGCGCCATCTCCGCACCCCCTTCAAGCTTAATACCCTGCATACGTCCCTCCTTGATGATCCGAATAGCCGATTGAAGACCCTGCTCTGGCGACACCTCATACGAACCCATGGGAAGATCAGCAATCTAAATAGCCACACACAAAACTGTCAGTCAATAAAGAAGCCTTGATGGGAAATCCCAAACCACGAACCGTGAAAGCACTCTTAGCAGCCCGCGCCACACTCCTGCAATGCAGCAGCATCTCTTCCATAACCACTTCACTAGTATCCTCCATACCTAGGGCCACCATAGCCAAGCTGTCCCCAACCAGAATCATCTCCATCCCAGCAGCCTCCGCAACATACCCACTCGGAAAGTCATGGGCAGTAAGCATGGTAATCGGCTCTCCCTTTTTGTGTAAATTCCGTAATGTCTGCAACGTCACCTTCTTCCTGGGATTCGTCGGCGTAGCGCCCATCGGCGAATGAGAACTGTGTCGAACTGAATGAGCACATTGCGACGGGCCACGACTAATCGAACTGTTCACAACGGCCAAAAAAGGCCTAATCATGGCAATATGCGTCGATCGAGACACAAGGCTCCTAGAGGCAGAACGCAACGGCAGCATCAATAGTGCTGCAACTCTAGAAGACGCCATGATAGCAAGTAATATTTGTACAAGCGGAAACCGGTATGTGTCAATTGAGGACGGAAGACAGACACAAGGGCGAAAGTCCAAGATCGAGACTAATTCACAAGAGGCAAGAAAAGTAAAGATGGATCCAACGGCGGCAAGGCCAATGCCGATTGAGTGTATGGGAGGAAAGAAGACGAATGGCGTCACTACCCGTCAGAAGGGTTACTATAAAAACAAAGAAATTTGCCTCCACTCTATGTAGTGTCATGTATGTACTACTGTTCTGAGAAGTAGCAGTTCAATGATCAATTAGAGTCATGAAAAGGCTTCAATGTGAATGTTTACATCCCTCTCCAGCGGTCCCTTTCACCGAGGTCCGCAGTTTATATAAAGAAAGACGTGCTGGTTTATGCAGCGTAGTCCGCAGAATCCCCAGACTTTTGTTCCTTTCTGCCGGATGTTAGGGCTACGGTTAAGTTTTCGTTGGGTCTTTGTCAAGCTCGGTGACGTATTCTCAGTGCCGATTGGTTGGTGCGTGCAGACTCCGTTTGTTCTTCCGCCGGACAATCCACTTCTTCCGGACCGAGTTTCACAGTAGGCCGAGGCTGTTTGAATAGTAGGGTTTGAATGTTTTGTGATCTTGAAACTACAACGTACGCAGGTCTCAAGACATCAACCTGAATAGAATGTAAATTTATTCATGGACCTGAGGACCGCATAACCAACATTTCTTAGTCAGTTCTAGCTTGGTCGAGCACTAAATAGAAGTATTAGGCTATGCCAGCTAAAAATACCCACGAGAAAAGAAAACTCCACCCCCAACCCAGGGCATTCGAGCCTTAAGTCATGCAACCCCATGAACACATCCACCCATGGGTTTAATCAACAAACGAACAAAGGAAAATGGTGTATAGAGAAGGTTCGAAAAATTAATGAACCAAATGAATACCAATGCAATATTTCCTTCCGAGAGAGCATAACGTCTCTCAATGCGATGCATGTACTAAATGGTGAATGCTTTCAAAAGAAACTCCGTGTCACCTATCTCCACGCCAGTCACTCCTGTAGAACCTTTTTTTTTTGTTTTCTTTTTTTTTTCCCTTGTTTACCCTTTGTTGTCATGGTTTCCAGAAGGGTCGCTGGCAAGGCCGTTAGCTGTCGTTCGTCATCAAGTCCATAGGACAACAAGGATAATGCAGGTGACAATCCAAGGACGCCGGCCAAGTGATCAATGCAATCGACAATAAGGTACAATAGACAGAAAGTTGCAAGAAAGTGTTGATGGAAAAAGAAACCCAGTACGGGTGTAAAATAGAGAATGAGTGACGTGAAGCCAATGGCAGCCAATGGCCGTCGCTGCTCGCAAAAGCAACTGATGTGAGGGCAAAATGCATATACGCCACTGCTATGGAGACTCGACCTTCCAAGCGCTCAGGTGGCTTCCGCATAACCATCATTATTGAGTGTCACAGAACCAAGATAATAATGCAAGAGGCGGATTAAACGTGGCCGAGTACCCAGCAGGATTGCTTTGTACGCATACTTTGTTTCGGTTTGTAGAAGCCTAAGCACAGTGAAAAAAAATATGCTAAACGTACTCATATTCATCCTTGAGTGGGCGCTGTAACTGGAAGAGTAGCGAGTCTAATTCTGCCCAATTTGCGCTGTTGGTCGCGAACTTGCGGTGTTTCCTTGTCATAACATGCTGCAACAGAAGTTAATACCTCGCTTCCGTTCACCTTTTGTATTGGCGGCTCACCTCTTCGAAATCATCAAACTTATCCCTGCAATTTTCGCAATAGCCGGGTTTCGGGTCCCTCCTTCTCTCCTTTTTCTTTTGACAGGTGCCTTTTCGTATGCTATTTCGCCGTTTTCCAGCATCATTGCTCTCCGATTGGGTGGTTTCCTCCTCAATGGCGTTCCCAAGCTTCTCAGGGGGCTCTAACTTGCCCTGCCGATTGCCCTGAGTCTTCGTTATTTTCAGCGCCGCCGTAGCATCTGTAGTCCGGTACGATGAAGGGCCCGTGCCAGCAGAGTATCCCCCATTGCTCTTTTCGAGGACTTTTCTCTTTAGCTCATGGACCTCTTTGCTTATGCCAGCTTTTGCACCAGGCGCTGCGGCAGTAGAGGACACCATCTGGGAGCGGATAGCAGAAGTGATATTTGATGGTTGCATGCCCGACGCCGCGGGTTCACGACCACCAGTATAAAATCCTCCACCATGATTGAGCTGCGGAGGAACAAAACTTTCAGAGCTTTTCTTCGGGGATAACGGTCGGGCTGGCTGCATCTCCTGCATTTCTGGCTGTTTAGGCTGAGATACAGCCTCCTCCTCATCAGCATCTTGAGGGATATACTCTTTTTTAGGTACGCGATCAGTTGCTTTCTCGATAGCATATTTGGGAACATTTGTTTTTTGAACCTGAGCCTCTTGGGTAGGGGCAACTTTGGAAGCAGCCTTTTTCTTCTCTTGTTGACGCGCTCGCTGCCTTTCTAGCTCTTTCTTTGTAGGAGGTTCATCGATAAAGGGACATTTCCCCAGCGGAGCACTTCTGAATTGTGGCCAGATACCGTCTTGTCGTCTTACAACTTTCGGGTACTCGCGAACCATAACAGGCCTTGTCTTCTCATCCATATCATGAACATAAACAAATGGGCCTTTGAACATGACCAGATCCTTCAATACGGAGAGAGGGTTACGGTCAGAGGAGCCGTTAAGCTCATTCTGAAGCACTTGTGAAAGGTCTGCCTCGCCTCTACCCCTAGAATGCCCACCACCGACATGGTTATTTCGGGTCGAATGGCCACTATTACCACCAATGTCTCCATCATTGATCGTGGCAATCATCCGTTGAAGTTTCTCAATAGCCCATATTTTCATTCCCATCTGGCGAGCCCTATGTAAGACATCCATATTGCTATGCTCACGCCGCGCGTCATTCTTGAGCGACATATGTAGGTGCGCATCAGGGTTTTTCTCGAGTAATGATGGGTTTACCGTCTGCAGAGTGCCATCTGCAGCAGCTTGGTCGACCGGTTCCGTATTAACCTCCGCCGGGCTCGCCACATCGGTTTCTGGAGGGATAGGGCGCGACGTGACAACATGTGTTACTAGACGCGAAAAGAATTTCTCCTCACGCTACGTTTTGTTGTTAGCATTAATAAAACAGCCGTAGACAGGGCGATTGGGTCCAGTGACGGCCTCAGGACATTCCCTCTCATGAGGGTAGTCCAAAGCCTAGCCACTATGCCCAGGGAACATCCTAAATCGACTTACAGCTCCCAATGCAAGGACTTGTCGCGAGCATTTGCTGCGCAGGTCCTCTGGAATACTATCAAAATAAAAGACAAATTGGGGGAAAGCCTTCCGATAATGCCTCTGCCATTGCCGTATAGAATCAATGGTTTCCGCCGATGGTCTTTCGTGCCGAGTTCCTCTAAGCTGAGATTGTCTTTCTTTATCCCTCACAGCGACCAGTTTTCTCTCAAAAGCACTTGGTTGGGAATTGTTCGTACGACGTGTGAAGAGCTTGGAATCAGCGTTCTGGAAAGTAGCGGGTCTGGTACGGGTTGGTGAGCGACTATCGCCTTGTGCCCCGTCAATTACCTGCTTCTTGGGTGGTGGCTGGCCGTAAGGGATATCGACTGGTGCATTTGTGGTTCGAGGGCGTTTGGCAGGCACGAGGCCTGCCCTATGGGGGGAGTTAGTAGCATTCGGCACGTTTGCGAGTGGTCGGCGAGTCGAC